AATATATAACATCCGCATAAGAGTAAATTATAACCAAATAGTATAATACAACAACTTTAATACTAAAATGGGAAGCTTTTTGATATCATTAAGAATTTTAACTAAACCCAATAGGATTATAGCAACATTTTAATGCAAAGATCCATTTACAGCCTCAATGGTGAGTATTAATAACCCAAAGAGAGCTGTTGACAATCTAGGCAGTATCTATTAACAATTGACTTTATATGATAATATAACCTCTAACAACTATATAAGATTAACTTTAACACTATTTAGTTATAGTTTAGTTAGTTATAGTTAGAAGTTATATTATCCGATAAAGTTAGTTGTTAACAGACACTGTTAAGGTTGTTAACAATTCTCCTTAGGTTATTAATACTTACTGTTGAGGTTGTAAATGGATTTTCGCATTAAAATGTTGCTATAATCCTATTGGGTTTGGTTAAAATTCTTAATGATATCAAAAAGCTTCCCATTTTAGTGTTAAAGTTGTTGTATTATACTATTTGGTTATAATTTACTCTTACGCGGAGGTTATATAATCCTATAAAGTAAGTTGTTAATGGATACTGCTTAGGTTGTTAATGCCTTCTCATTCGGTTGTTAATAGTCGCTATTGAGATTGTAAATAGATCTTCGCATTAAAATATTACTATAATCCTATTGGATTTAGTTAAAATTTTTAATGATATCAAAAAGCTTCCCATTTTAGTGTTAAAGTTGTTGTATTATACTATTTGGTTATAATTTACTCTTATGCAGAGGTTATATAATTCTATAAAGTAAGTTGTTAACGGCTACTGCTTAGGTTGTTAATGCCCTCTCATTCGGTTGTTAATAATCGCTGTTGAGATTGTAAATGGATATTCGCATTAAAATATTACTATAATCCTATTGGATCTAGTTAAAATTCTTAATGATATCAAAAAGCTTCCCATTTTAGTGTTAAAGTTGTTATATTATATTATTTGGTTATAATTTACTCTTATGTAGATGTTATATAATTCTATAAAGTAAGTTGTTAACGGATACTGCTAGGGTTGTTAACGCCCTCTCATTAGGTTGTTAATAGTCGCTGCTGATGTTGTAAATCGTAATGACAGAGCAAATGTGAATCTGGAATATGAGGGGCAGTAATGTCATTTTACAAAACGAAAATATTACTCTGAGGTCCCTTGGGACCTGTTAGTGATTTTGACATTTCGTGGGATTTCAGAGTAATAAATTGCCTTCTGCGAGACCTGTTAGTGATTTTCTCTTAGTTTAAATCTCAAGAAGTTGATTCTTATAGTGACTCACTCGATATTAAAATAATATACAGGGGATGAGAAAGCAATGCAGTTTCTTATCATGATATAGATACAGTCATACGGATGGCTGGAAAAAATGAAAAATTTTACTCTTAATAGAAGGAACTAGTATTATAATATGTCTAAAAACTGCCTTCTACTACCTCCGGTCCTTAATATAAGATTTTATTTGACTTTTATTTTGATCCTAAATATAAGACCCCAATCTACTTTGTCTCTCATATTTATACTTTTTTTTCAAAGTAGCCCTTCTAACAATGATAGTTCTAGTCAATACACTTAATTAGTAAAGATATTTTAGGAAAGACAACACCTATTTAGGACAAATAACTAATTCAACTTATTTCTTTAATCTTCTCAAATTAGTCAAGTGGTTCTTATAATTAGGACCGGAGGTAGTATTATTCTGTCACGTGTCACTTGGATACAGCGAACTTTCTATTTAATGGCCTTAGTTGGCGTATCTCTCTACGTGACTTTTTTCAGTGCTTATTTTGGAAAATCTTCATATTTAAAAGCAAATTCAAGACAACTTCATATAATGTAAAATCGTTTAAATAATATAATTCAAAGTTTCAAATATCCCTAGATGATCCCTCTGGTTCAAGATATAAGCTAAACTTTGTTAGATGAATTTGGTTTTTTTAATAAAATAACATTCACTCTTCTTTAAACATTTAATGAGTTTTTTTCAATTTTATCCCCATATATATTTTTTTCTTTTTGATTCATTTATTATATCTTTTATTTATTCTCTTCATTGATAAGGGCATATCTGGAAAGAAAAATACATGACCTACATATTTATTGTTTTAAACTGATTTTAACTAGTTTTTTTATAAACATAAATGGATAAAGTTTAGTTTATATTTTGAACCGGATGGAGTATCTCTACGTGCCTTTGAAGCACAGCAATAATAATAATAATACTATCTCCGGTTCTTAATATAAGATCTTGTTTGATTTTTATTTTAGTCTTAAATATAAGACCCTAATCCACTTTGTCCCTCATATAGTCATATTTATACTTTTTTTTTCTAAAGTAGTCATTCTAACAATTATAGTTCTAACCAATACACTTGATTAACGAGGATATTTTAAAAAAGACAACATCTATTTAAGACAAATAACTAACTCAATTTAATTTTTTCATCTTATCAAATTAGTCAACTAATTCTTATAATTTGAACCAGAGGTAGTAATAATGATAATAATGGTGGGCGGTGGTAGCGTGATTTAGGGCAAAAGCTCCCATTTAACGCTGTCCCCTCCTATTCTACACCGAGTTCTAACCATCGTCCTACAAATGCATGCTTAGCTCGTGCCGAACTGATTTATTAATGAACCAAAAACACGTCCCTCAATTTTGGATTAGAATTTATTGATTTAGGGCCAGTTATTACTTACTCCTATATAAAAATGATTTTGAAACGCGAAAAATTAGTTTTAGGGTTGGGAGGGGGGTTTGCAAATAACAAGACTTAAAATAATATATATTTATATTACTTGTAATTTCCCGAGTTCAGCACTATGCCTGAGACACTAACTTGATGAGATTTCCAAAGATGAGCACTGGATGCCCAGAGACACACTGGACTGGAAATACACATGACTTTTGTAAAATATAGTTCATAAATTTTGCAGAATGTACATTCTAAGGTCAATCTGCTATTATATATCGCAAATAGTTTTGTAATAAAATATGTTCAAGCCAAAAATCCGGGAGAATCCCGGGCCAATATGTCTAAATAATACTGCTTTTTTTGTCATTACCGTAAGAGTTAGTCTGACATTCAATCAATCAATAATCAACTATCAATCAACTATATTCTTAAAAACTTGTAATACATGATTCGTTTGAAAATGAGTCGGATATGATATTATTAGATATGAATATATTCAATTAATGAGATTTAAATAATCTATTGATTGAAATTTGAATATATTAAATTAAATAGTATACATTATAAATAAATGATATTTCAATTGGAGGCTCAAATGAAAAAAATTATTAATTAATTTTGAATTTGAATAATATCTTGACTGAGATTTGAATATATTGTATTAAATATAGAGTATCATAGTTAAAGAGCGTGTGAATTGGAGGCTTAAATAGAGAAATAAATAAATAATTTTAAATTTTCATCTATTCCTCATAAATTCAGCATCTCTCATTCAAGTTCTATTTGAATAAATAAAAAATTATACTCCTATAAAAAGTAAATCTTGAGCTACAGTAGATCATGCAATTTATTAGAATTTTAAATCTAATCAAATATGCTAATATGTGCATCGCACGGGATAAAAATTTCTAGTTTGGTCCTAAATTTAATATTCCAATCCACTTTATATCTCATATTTATCTTTTTTTAGAGGTAGTTTTTCAGTAGTGGCACATATTAAAGATTTCATCAAATAGTAGTTCTAACTAATACCTATGATTAGTAAAAGTATTTTAAGAAAGACAACATCTATTTATTATAAATAATTAACTTAACTAATTTTTTTAATATACTCAAATTAATTATTCTTGTATTAAAAACGGGTCACATTGACGTAATATCAGGACTTTGACGTCCCAGCTTTTACTTTCAGATTTCGATTATTTCTCAATCATCCAAATGCAATACACTTAGGACCCGTTTGGTTCAACCCCATTATATCATGAGGTGAGATGCGGTGCAATGTAATGGGAATACAATGCAATATGAATTACAAGAACAGCATTCGGCATGCTCTTTAAAGAGAGGTACAGTAAGTTAATTTAATAATTATTTAAAATTAATATATAACGGAAAGACTATTGTATCCTTATTATGCTCATTCACATCATCCTCCTCCTCTTTAAACCACGGCGCTTACGTTTCTCTTCTAGGTCTTGTTCCACCATCAAAGCTATTTTGTAATACCGATGTGGCACGCCACGATTGAAGGTTTCGTTATTCTAATGATTATTAAATAAATGAGTAAATTTTGAAGAAAACTATTGGATTGAATCGATTTAAATATGATTAGTTCCTGGAATATAATACCTATCCCACAGGACTTGAGAAAAAATATATTTGCAGAAAGTTTACATTTTTGTATGACATTGTTTTTTTAATCCAAATTTACAGACTGCTGATCATATTCACCTATAGGAATTCAATCATAATTTTGCTTGATTTATGGAGCAGGGTTTAGATTCTTGATTTAGAAGGTAGGTTCCATTAAACACTGCTGAATTCACAAAATACACTCTCTTGGTAGAGATGCTTTGATGGGAATGATATCCAATCCAGAAGTGCAGAGACTCATCCAATCTAGAGTGCAAGGAACAATCATCGATGAGGAGGACATCTCATCAGGCGAAGTTACAACTTGTAGTGAGGGATTCCGTCCCGTGGATAAATGAGATTTGTTTTTGAAGGGCAAATATTGTCTTTTCATATAAGTTATTGAGGACAGAATAGACATTTCATAAAAAATTGCAAGCCTGCAATGAGCATTCATAGGGTCTTCTTTGTGAATAGATATTACTAAAAAATGTGCAATCTTTTTTACTATTATTAAATCTAACCAAACAAGTCATTTATGGTAACGTAACAAGGATTATCATTATACACCTGCAATGCAATGCAATGTGGTTGAACCAGACGGGTTAGTCTTTGAATTCTCATTTGGTGCTTGGTTCCTCAACTTCTCATCATGTCGTATGCCATGTCTCAGTTACTCTCATCCTCCGAAGGTTGCCGTTTTCCCTGCAGCTCTTCCCCGGTGCTCCGCCGTCAGCCGACGTCAATGCCTGCGAAAAGCAATTATAATCGGGTCAGGAGCACAAGTCAGCGATTAGCGGTGTCAGTGGGCAATGTTCCGGCGATGCGGTCGACCGAGAAACGGAGGTTGGAGAAGGAAGAGAATGAACGGAAAGAGAAAGGGAAGACACGTAAGAGTGGCTGGAAGGATTACATCGAACAGTCAAAGGAGCTGATTAAATCGGACGGTGGACCGCCACGGTGGTTTTCGCCGTTGCACGGTGGTTCGCGGCTCAACAATTCTCCTCTCTTGCTCTACTTGCCAGGTCAGTCGTTTCCAATTCAATATTTTTTCAATGGCAGTCAGAACAAGAAGAAGAAAAACTCATAAGAAACAACAGATTCTCAAATGAAGTATCCAGTCTCGATTTGCATGGCAAGATGATATGCCGTGAGGCGACAATTGAACCCTGAATCAAAGATAACATCACTGTTATTAAGTTCCATTAACTCGCCGTCATATACCGTCGGCGATCTTCGAATGCAGAAGCATGCTCAGTTTCTTCCACTTGGATCCATTTGCTATTTACTTTTGATTACAAAACCCATTTACAACTAATTTTATTATTTATAATTATAATTTGGGGAAATTTAGTTTGGGAAAAAGACAAAAAAAAAAAGGAACTCAGAAATTGTGAAATCCTAATTCAGGCACCTAATAGGATAATATTTCAAAATTTCAGAGGAGGAAGTGGTACATCATCTAGTATTTTGTAAATGTAGTTAAATAATTAAAATGTCTTTGTTTTAGACTTGTCATTACTAGTAAATTTTTTGTTATTTACTATTCAACACTTGTTATTGTCAATTCACAACTTGTTAATAAATTTTTTTAAAATAAATACATTTTAGTTATTTAATTATATTTGTAAAATACCAGATCAAGCATCACTTCCTCCCTTAGAATTTTGAAGTACTAGGTACTTGAATTGAAATTTCACAATTTTCATATTTTTTTTGTCATTTTCCCATTTAGTTTTTGTTTTGTACAATAACAAATAAATCTCGTCAAACGTTGTAGTGCCGTTTAAAAAGTTTTTTCCCTTTTTTGGGCCACAGAGTTCTCCCTTCTTTAATTTGTACTTTTCATATATTTTTGTTTAATTTTTTATTAGTAACTTTGCTAATATTTTTGTTTAATTATTCGCTCATTAGTAACTAGGGCTGAGCAATGGGCGGGCTGGGCTAACCCAAGGGTTAGCCCATAGCCCGCCCATTTATGAATAAACGGGTATGGGCTAGCCCATAACCCGGTAGTAGCCCGTTTGAGCCCGTATTAAATGGGTTGTGGGGCAGCCCGTTTGGGCTGACCGGGTTATGGGTAACCCATTTATTTTTTTACTTTTTTTTTACAATTTTTTCAGCATAGTGTAATCTTATGAAGCTATTAATAAATTTTTCATACCAAATAACAAATCAAATATAAAATAACATCACATAATACTAATTATATTCAATCACATAACTTCACTTGAGTTGCTCATTTCTTCTATATTCCAAATCAATCACAATGACAATGAGAAATAACCAAGACAACTACAATCATGTTTATGTAGAAAACAAAGATAAAGCTAGTATTTCAAACATATTACTGTTTAGTTAACAACTTCAATTGTACGTCTAATACTGAAAGTATATTCAGGCATTGCCAACTTAAGACGGCAAATAAGACCAAGATTTGTATGCCATATTGGTTAGCCGGAGAGCCTATCTATGAAATGGAAATGCAAAGAGAAATCTCAATAAGTTGCTTTTAGTCGGCCCATTCATTCATTCCTAAGTTAATCTCTGTCCTACCAGTTGCCATGCTATGAAATGGAAATGCAAAGAGAAATCTCAATATGTTGCTTTTAGGCTAATAGACATATGTTTTAAACAGAAGCATCTATAATTCTTTAGTGAGATAGTGACCACTGACCAGCAAGCTACCGAAAGTCCAAAATGAAAGAACAAGAGAAGTCAAAAACAAAGTTTAAGTGTTTAACCGAAGCTACCGAGAAGCTGCCGTGAAGGAGAAGTCGAAGCCGAAGTCAGAGTGTCAGTGAGCTACCAGGCACCAGCAACAGTGACCTTTGCTTCAATCTTCAACAGATCGAAGGACGCCACCAGCTATAGCGACCTTTGTCTCAAAGACTCAAACTCTGAAACAGAGCTGGGCAAAGCGGCAAATCCGAAGACAGCAAGACGCAGTACAAACAGAGCTGGGCAAAGCGGCAAATCCGAAATCTCAAAGCCAAAATCACAGCCTCACTCTCTCGCAGACGAATTGATTAAAGTCCATAAATCGCTGGAGCTCGAAGCAAGCTGGGCAATTGGCTCGAAGTTGAATGGCAGAGACGCAGTCACACAGAGTCGCAAACACAGTGACAGAGTGACAGAGCAAGGGCGGTGGAGCCGTGGAGGCGTGGAGCGGCAGTCGGCAGAGCAAGTGAGTGACACTGAGAGAGTCGTTCAGTCGAAAGATTGAGAAATGCCGTCGCCGTCTCGCCGAAATGGAAACTGGAATGAACTATGAAGAAAGTCAAGAAGAAACGGATAATGAAAGTCGAAAGATTGAAAGGCTCAAGTGCTCAACGCAGCTGACCTAATTGACTAATTGCAATGAATAAAAATATTTTTTTTAAAAAATAAAACTTAAATGGGCGGGTATGGGCAGCCCGAAGCTCTGCCCATAGCCCGTCCCGTTTAATGGGCTGCCCGCCCATTTAAATCAGCCCGTTTATTATCTTCTATTTGGGCTAATTGGGCGGGCTTTAATGGGCAAAAAATTATTGGGTTATGGGCGGGCTAGCGGGTTATGGGCTATTTGCTCACCCCTATTAGTAACTTTGCTAATAATATATTCGCTATCATCTATTACTTCCATAAGCACATATAGCAGTTTTTTGTTTGTAATAATAAAATGTATTAAGCTTATAATAACAAAACAAAAGATATTTTTCCTCTGGTCCTAAATATAAGACTCACTTTGTAGTGTATAATATACACTACAAAGTGGGTCTTATATTTAGGACCGGAGGGGTACTGTTTTACTCTGAATTGAGTTGTATCAAGGAGTTTAAATTTTAGACCTTTTTTATACCTTAATTTTAGTTCTTTACTCTTATTTTATATCACCCCATTCTTTTACGGTTGCCATACAAAATGTATTGAATTTTATAATACTCATGGAATTATGGATTTATTTAAAAAAATAATGCGTTGGATTTGTTTTTGTTTAAGGCCACAATTGGGTTTGTTTAAACTATATAATATTATAGCTGGCAAAAAAAAAAAAAACTATATAATATTGTAAAATATCTGTCCTTCAGAGATTTAATCTCTCAACTAATGGAGATTGGGTTTAGTTCTCACAAGATATAGTAAATCAAAGTTTGAATTGTGTTGGACGCTTAACAATTTATCTTTAATTTTCGTATCACGCCTTTGTCAAGAATTTTGCTTTATTTCAGGCATAATTGTAAAATTTCAATATGCAACCACTTTTTATAGATTTAATTGCCATAATTTTTTTAAGCACGTAATATCTCTGATCTTTAATATAAGATCTTGTTTGACTTTTATGTTGATCCTAAATATAATACCTCAATTTATTTTATATCTTATATTTATATATTTTTTTAAGGTAGTCCTTCTAGTAATGATAACTTTAACCAATACATTTGATTAGCAATAATATTTTAAAAAAGACAATACGTATTTATTAAAAATAACTAATTTAATTTATTTTTTTAATCTATTTAAATTAGTTAACTAGTTCTTATATATATCCTAAGAGTTAGTATAAACGTTTTCGAACTTTATTTTTCAACAACGGAGTTCTTCGCAAAACCAATAAGCCATAATGTCTATACTTTAGATTCATCAGCTAAGCTCTCCGGTTGTTTTGTCATCCGTATCGCCCACAACGCAGGACGCGACCAGAGTTTATCTCCTCTATTTTGCTCGACGTTAAAAGAATGAATAGTTTCTACTCTACATGTTTTATGGCGTCAACGAGCATAACTATATTACTCGTGAAATATGACCCCTCCAAGAAACTCCTTATAACTAAACTATATCCTAAATTTTACAGGGATTGATGGCGTGGGACTTGGGCTTATTTTACATCATCAAAAACTGGGAAAGTACGTATCCACTTATCGATTCACAAGATGTAATTTGCAGCCCGCGAGTTTCTACTGGCTTGATGTTGTTCTGAATTGATTGGCTGAAATATAAGAAATTCTCTTTTTTGGCTTGAATGAAGGATTTTCGATATGTGGTGCCTGCATATTCCAGTTAAGGATCGAACGCCATTTACAGGTATCCTCTTTTTCTCTTTCACATTACATCATTTAGCTTTGCATGCTAACTAATAACAGTTATATTTTGCTGTGAAGCTCATAGTATGTTGTCTTTCATCAGCATAATATGTTGCTCTAAATATTGCAGAACTCGTGAAGATGGTTGAGAGAACTATTAGGTCCGAGAATCAAAGCTATCCAAACAGACCCATATATATTATCGGAGATTCTTTAGGAGCGTGCCTTGCATTGGCTGTTGCAGCACACAACCCTGATATTGATCTTGTGCTAATTTTGGCTAACCCAGGTAACTTTTAAGCATCGTCGATGGCATTTATGGTTTCGCCGATTATGGCTTGTTTAAATAGGACATCTCGGCATCACATTCACAAGCATGATCATACTAATAAAGTGAGGCCTGAAGTAATTGTGGGCTCTTGAGTATTCATGACGTATAATCCATTACTAGTATGCTGTTGTATGGGTACACCAATCAATAAATTTTGGCAATTACCAACTAATTATGGAAAGCCGCCTATGATTAAGTGGTTCTGGATTATATTCATAAGTGGCTAGTCAGATTATTCATAAGTGCTGGAATTAAAGGTATCGGATTTAGCAGATCAGAGATTTTTTTCAGTTGATTTCTGGGCAACTTAACATGTGCACAAAGAACTTTACTATTGCTCATCATCATCATCACACATTGGTGCAGCTACTTCATACAATAGGTCACAATTGCAACGTATAACACCATTATTGGAAGCTATGCCTCGCCAATTCTCTCCCGGCGTGCCTTATTTTCTTAGTTTGATGGCAGGTTTGTTGTCCCATTTCTACAAGTTTTGATATTTCATTTTTTTATTTTAAGCTCAAGATCTATATTACATGCGAGTTGCCCCACTTTTCCCCTCTAAAAGCTCTTGTATATTTTGATTTTCTTTCCCATCAAGGACATAAGGACCTCATGGTTGATGAGTTCCTCAATATATATCACCAAGCACTGTACTGATTTTTAGGACAGACACTTTAATCGTAGATCAAGAACCACATAAGGTGTCTTTTTTACTGCAGATGATCCTTCGAGGATGGTGTTGGATTATATGGTGAAGGGACTTCCCCTGCAAAATACAGCTAGAGAGTTATTGGGGGATCTTAGTATTTTGTCATCTTCCCTCCCTGTAAGATATATACAATTCTTGTATTTATTCTTAAAACAATCACATCCCTGTTAGTCACTGTTGCGTATACTTGCGTGAGATGTTTTTTACGTGTATTTTGTACTAGTTTAATGACATTAGTTTAAGCACACGCTGGAGTCTAAATTTAAAATTTGATGATATATTTTTTCCCTCCTTGTACAAGTAATTTCTATTAGTAAATATACTGGATTGGTGGAGGACATGTTCGGAGTTAGTTGCCTTTGCTGTGTACATGCCAGATTTGAATTTTCCATTCAGTTACTTATAGTATTAACAATTACTCGTTTATTGAACTCTTAGGTTTTTGCTGAGATATTGCCAAGAGAAACACTTCTGTGGAAATTACAGATGCTTAAGTCCTCTTCCACGTATGCTAATTCGCGCCTTCATTCCATCAAAGCTCAGATTTTGATGCTTAGCAGGTCCATTCTCCCTACCATCGTCCATCTTTATACAAGTCAGAGTATGGAATCATGTCATTCTCTCTCTCTATACATACACACACAAACTTAGTTAACATATGGTTTCCTGCAACAAAATTTGACCAAATTGCTCAAAGGAAACATGTTGCAATGGGGGAATATTCTGTCAACTGCAAGAATCATATTTTGACAATTTTCTGAGGCCTATTCCAGTTACTCTCCAACGTTGCAGCTTAGAAATACGATTTTAAACGGTAGAATTTGAAATCTATATATGCGGGGAAACTGGAATTTGTAATCAGAGCAGACTGTGATGAAACTGGCCGTAACCCTCCGATCTCTTTGTATCATACTCTCTATAACAGTGTCTGATATTTACTTTTACTGGTAAATTAATCCCATCTGTGTCGTGCATGCATATTATAATTGACTAGTTATCCTTTTAAACTTTACTTTTCTCTCTGACATGTTAGGCTGAGTTTTGGTATTTGTCATTTTAGTGGAAAGGATCAGTTACTGCCTAGTAAGCAAGAAGGTGAAAAGCTATACCGTTTACTACCAAAATGTGAGCTTCGTAAGTTTGATGACAGCGGTCATTTCCTTTTCTTGGTATGGTTCTCTCCTCCTGAGCTTTGTTATGACCTTTTGATGGGAAAGATAGAATAATCTAAGTTGGAACTCTTAGAAGGAATGCTAATATGGTTTTCTTCGTTCACTGGTAACAGGACGACAGCGTTGACTTATTGACGATCATCAAAAGCACTTGTTTCTACCGTCGTGGCAAGTATCGTGATTATGTTTCAGATTTTATACCACCGTCACCTGATGAACTTCAAAAAATAATGGAAACATTCAGGTAAATAATGTGTTAATTGGAAACATTTGCAAATTGCTTGGGCGTCTTGCCAAATGAAGTTGAAAGAAGACCAGTGGTGGTAAGGGTATTATTTGTTGAATAAGTTGACTGATAAACCACATCTGTATAAATATTTAATATATTTCCTCATGTCCTTATTTTAAGCACCTAATCACAATATATATTATTACATGATTAGTTTACATTAGTTATTTCCTATAAACTATATTAATTACCCTTAGTAAGAGCTATTAGTGAGAATAGTTTGGTTCATTGTCATTAGTTAGGAAGTTTTATTAAGTTACATTTATCTTGTTTCCAGATTGTTCAACAGCCTAACAAGTTCTGTAATGTTGTCAACTTTGGAGGATGGAACGATTGTTAGAGGCCTTGATGGAATCCCTTGGGAAGGGCCTGTCCTGCTAGTTGGATATCACATGCTATTAACATTGGATGTAATCCCTCTGGTGACCAAGATTGCTTCTGAGAAAAAAATCTTAGTACGAGGAGTGGCACATCCATCGTTTTTTGAGAAACCAAAAAACGGAAAATTGCCTGAATTATCTTTATACGACTCGTACAGGCTTATGGGTGCTGTTCCTGTGGCTGCGAGTAATTTCTATAAGCTTTTCTCTTCCAAGGCTCATGTCCTGCTTTTTCCAGGAGGGATGCGCGAGGCTCTACATCGGAAGGTAATTGCCAATGGGATGTGACTTGTATTGCTATCACAAGCTTGTGGTTCACAAATTCAAGGGGAGCTGGTGAAACTTGCAGAAAAAGTTTATCCATTTTCACATCCTTTGTCTTAGTGGGAAATTCTTTTAATGGATTAATTGTATAGGCATTTGATATATGTCAGTATAATGAGTAATCTCCAGCTCTTAAATAATTTCCAGGGTGAGGAATACAAATTATTCTGGCCTGAACAAGCAGAGTTTGTTAGGATGGCGGCCAGATTTGGAGCCAAGATTGTGCCTTTTGGCACTGTTGGAGAGGATGACTTTGGTCAGGTATATATATATGTTTCAAAAAAGCGATCCTTATAGCTCTTCTTCAATGTTAATGAAAAAGAATTTACTAGTGCAGGAGTCCTTAACTACTTGTGTGACTCATCAATATGGTTTTAAACTTTTAATGAGGTGTAAAAGCATCATCACGTACATTTAAGTCTGTATTTATGTCACGATGGGACTACCTGAAGATATAAAGATTATTTTTCAATCTTCGTGTGGCCTATCTAACTTAACTATGATCCATTGCTTTAATTTTTTGGATTCATTAGCTGTAGCGTGAACAGGTATATATCACTTTGCTTCCAGGTTGTTATTGATTATGATGACTTGATCAAGATTCCTTACTTTGGGGCTGAAATAGAAAGTTTAGCAAAGGAGGCTGTGATGTTGAGGTATGTCCTAATAATTAAGTTGCGCCAGTCGTTTTTCTAAACCAAAGAACCAAACTTCAATAATTACCTCTCTGTCATTTTTCCTTCTTCAGTTGCTTACAAAAGCTACTGTATCTTTTCTAGAGGCGATGCTGAAGGTGAAGTGGCAAATCAACCAATTCATCTTCCAGGAATACTGCCCAAATTTCCAGGCCGATTCTACTTTTACTTTGGAAAACCAATTGAAACCCGAGGTACAAACAATCCTAATAGTCAAGTTCGATTATTTTAACTCAATATCCAGAATTGTATATTGAATTGAAAGTTAATATGTATTGTTCGAAAGGGAGGGAGAAGGAACTGAGAGACAGAGACAAGGCACATAAGGTGTACGTGGAAGTGAAGTCTGAGGTTGAGAAATGCATCGCTTATCTGAAGGAGAAAAGGGAGAGCGATCCTTACAGATGTTTGATACCTCGGCTTCTATACCAAGCCACGCATGGATTCACACACGATATTCCAACTTTTGAAATTTGATTGTTCCGTGTAACTTAATTAGTTCATATGAGTGGACCCCAACTTACCATCCCAAATGGGTTAGACGCAGTTAATAATAATATAATGATGGGATAGCTACGTGTTACCAAAAATATATGATGATATCTATATATAAACTATCTTTTGTTCATCATTTATACGACTTTATTTTGGAGGAGCTCTTGTTATGATATTCTCTTTTCCTCTGATAGTTTAATGATAGGAGACTCCAACCTTTTTCATAGTCTTTTGAGTTCTCTTTTTTTGGCTGATTTGGTGGTGGCCGCTTCATTTGAAAATGTTTTTTCACATGTATGTTCTTTAAGCCGCTTTGCTGTACGATCACTTTTTTCTTGACATTTATTTTATTATGTTAAATGATATTGAGGATATCTTGCATAAATTAAAGAAGACATCTTATCATCTTTCTTTAAAAGGTGCTCTCAGTAAAGTTAAAAACAAGTATTTTTATCCTCAAAACCCTGGGGGGGGGGGGGATTTGTCTCGGGGTATTGGAAATGCTTTGCTTTAGGCGGCAAGGGCAACGCAGCGCAACACAAGTCTGGCCCAGTGGCCCAACCCATCCATCGACTGAAAGTACACGGACAAATCCGGGAGAATCCAGCACCAATGTCAAAAATATTAATATCTTGTATTTTTATTATAAATTTTAAATAACTAACTTGTGAACAATGAGTAATTAGTTAAAATTAGTAAAAAGTAATATGATTATTATAATTTTTGGTCTCTTAAATTTGTTCTCATTAGTTTTGATTCATCAAATTTCAAATTATAGTTTTTGGTTCCTTAAAAGATAAAATGATTTAGGTTTTTATTGAATTATAGGGACTAATATTTTAAATGAAATAATACTTAAGGGATCAAAACCTACGTTTTAAAATTTGAGAGATTAAAACTAAAATGAAAATAAATTTAAAGAACTAAAAGTTGTGTTAATTCTAAAATAATAAATAAGTTAGAAATATATTTTTGTTTTTAAATATGTTATTATAATAAATAAAAAGATAAAAAAAATAGGCCAAAAATATGACAAGTGGGAGTATGTCAAATGAATAGAATAAATAATTAAGTAACAAACTTTGCTAAAAAAAATAATAATTAAGTAACAAACGTTACATTGAAACTTTGATGCTACAAGCTTATAAATAGTACTACTGAGTATTTCATACCAATGCCCAATACACATAATATTTGATACTTGATGCCTCTCGCTCTTTACTTTCAGATTTCGACTTTTCAATTATTGAATTGAATTGTAATAAAGTCTCTGAATCTGTTTGTTGACTTTGTTCCTGATTGGCAATTGGCATCCTCAATTTCTCATCATGCCGTCTGCCATCTCACAGTTTATCTCTCCCACCGAAGCTTGTCTTTTCCTCAGCGGCTCTTCCCCGGCGTTCCGCCGTCATCCGTCGTCAGCGCCGGCCATAAGTAAATCTAATCGGGTCGGAGGCGTCACTAAGAGATTGGCGGTGTCGGTGGACGAGGTGCCGGCGACGAGGTCTATCGAGAAACGGGGGTTGGAGAAGGAAGGGATTGAATGGAGAGGGGAAGAAGAAGGAGAAGGGGAGGAGGAAGGAGAAGGGGAGAGACCTATGAGTGGCTGGAAAGCTTATTTCGAAGAGTCAAAGGAGTTAATAAAATCCGAAGGGGGACCGCCTCGCTGGTTTTCACCGTTGTACGGCGGTTCGCGGCTCAACAATTCTCCTCTCCTCCTCTTCTTGCCTGGTTAGTTCTTTTATTTATTTATGTATATACCAATATTCTTATACTTTTTTTTTTGGTAACATATTCTTATACTTTTATATGCACATTCACGCACGCACGAGAGCATCAGGCCCAAGGAAGTTTCAAGCTTTTTACTGCTAGATTTAAAAGGTGTTTGGTTGAAAAATCGTTAAGAGTTTTGTTATTTTTTTAAAGTGATTTTGGGTATACCAATCATTTCCTTATACTGTATAATTTTTCTTAGTGTGAAGCTAATATGATTGAAGGATGCTAGCTATTTGATATATGTGAATTACTTTGGATTTATTTATCCATAATAAATTTTCTCTGAGCTTTTTTTTCCCGTCCTTTCTAAATTTTTAATAAAAAAATTAATTTCGAAAAATAATTTGTTATCAGTCCAATTATCAGGTCATGTTCGGTTTTTTTTTTTCAATACTTATGTTCAGGTTGCAATTGCTGCTGAAAATGATTCAAAAAAGAGAGAGAGAGAGAGAGTACATTTTTCATAGATATAAATATCTAAAATTTTTTGGTTTATTTTAAAAATATTCTTAAAATATTTTGAATAAATTCATGATTTCAACAAATGTATTTTTTTTTGTTACTTATATTCGTATATAATAGTAAGTGCGATTTTTTTTCAATGTGAAGATGTGAATTTTTTTTATCTCAAATTAAAAAATTATTTATATTAAAATTAAAAAATTCTGGTAAATAAAAAGGAAGACAACTTTTTTTATTTTGGGTGGGGAAAGGAAAACAATTTTTAAATTGTCAATCTACACTCATTGTGAAGATTGAGTAATATTCAACTTTATTTAGAGCAGTACTTTTTGGTATGAGATTAATAGATTATGCTGGTCTCACTTTACATTTATTTATATATAAGATTTATTTTAATAAAAAAATTGCTTAAATTAAGATAAAGAGATATTGTTACTATTCATCACCAGTGAAAAAAGTGTCAGTACTGCTATTCTTACTTTGGATTTTCTCGATCTGTTTCCAACTTTCCTGATATTTTTGAAGTTCACAATAATTGAATAAATGTGAAGTATATATTGCTGCTTCCTGGCTAGTCATGTAATAATAAATAGTTATTATACGGTACTTATTGCTGTTGAGAAAAATACATTTTGTAAGTTGAAGCATACTAAGGATTATGCAAGTTCTTATGATATTAGGAGATATCCTACTTTTAGGAGATTAATGCCCTTCTTCCCATAAGCTTCATGTAAACGATGCAAGAGTTTCTGTGCTACTTAGAGACTCTGTTTTTCCTACTTGTTGATTACATTTTCCTCTAATTTTGGCTTTACGTCTCATCGTCGGAACTTCAGCATCCATCTAGCTTCTGTCAAGAATTTTGTTTATTTTAGGATCTTTAAGTAATTGTGAAGTAAATTTATGTTGTAATTTTATTTTTCAATACTTTAATTTCCAGCGTTGCATCCATCTACCTGTGTTTTGAATGCATTAGTTAAACTCTCCAGCTGTTATGTCATCTCTGACAATGTGTCGCATGCAGCTCGCATGCGGGACAAAAGCAAAGTTTTTCTTCTCAATATCTCTCCGGTTAAAGAATGGATGGTTTCTATTATTCATGTCTATGGCGTCAAGCAACAGGCTTACTGATGAAATATGACCCTCCAAAAAAATCTTCGTAGAAATAAATTATATTCTTAATTTTACAGGGATTGATGGCGTGGGACTTGGACTTATTTTAAACCATCAGAAGCTGGGAAAGTACGTATTCACTTATTGTAAATGCTTGGCTTACTATGTCTTTTAACTGTTAGTTATTCTGGGAATGCACCTTTTGATTCGTAAGATGAAATTTGAAGCCTACAGTTTCTGCTAACTTGATGTTACTCTGATTTGATTAGCTGAAATATAATCACTTCTCTTTTTCCGCTTGAATGAAGGGTTTTTGATATGTGGTGCTTGCATATTCCGGTCATGGATCGAACGCCATTTACAGGTCTCCTCTTTTTCTCTTCCTCATTACATCATTTAGTTTTGTACATTAGCCATTGGTTTACCATGTCGTGGAGCTCCAGTTAAATATAACCGCCTTAATAGAATCGATACAAAATGGGGAAGCGCATGTTCAATTCGTTGAAAATGGGATCACACGTTTCTCTCCTAACATGCTCTGGTAATGCAAACAAGAGGAAAATTGAATGCTAATAGCATGTTGTCTTTCAACATAATATGTTGCTCTACATATTTACTCGTTGCAGAACTCGTGAAGATGGTTGAGAGAACTGTTAGATCCGAGAATCAAAGCTGTCCAAACAGACCGATATATCTTGTTGGAGATTCTTTAGGGGCATGCCTTGCACTGGCTGTTGCAGCCCGCAACCCTGATATTGATCTCGTACTAATTTTGGCTAACCCAGGTAACTTTTTACTTTTAAGCATTGTCGATAACATTTGGTTTCGTTGTTTATGGTTAGTTGGATTAGGATATCTCGGCACTACAAGCATGAACATGATTGAATGGGAGGGTCGAACTTATAGGCTCTTGAGAAGTCATGCAGCATAAATTATTCCTGGTTTGCTGTTCTTGTGCATCATCAATCGGTATATTTTGACAATCACCGTACTGATAAAAAGCCACCTCTGGGTAATTGTGGCCTCGGATTATTGATTCAGGAGCAGCTAGTCTAGTTATTCATCGGTAATGGTGTCAGATTTAGTAGGGGTTCTTTCGGTTGATTTCTGTACAACAATGAAGTTGGTTTAGCTGTAATATGAATCTGAGTTCACTTTGACTCATTGTTGCAGCTACTTCATACTGTAGATCACAGTTGCAACAGTTAACCCCGTTATTGGAAGCTATGCCTGGCCAACTCTCTCCTGGTGTGCCTTATTTTCTTAGTTTAATGGCAGGTTTGTTTTCCTAGTTCTAAGTTGCTATTTCATTTTTGACTATGTGCTCAAGACCTATATTACATGCGCTTTGACGCAGTTTTCCATTCTAGAAGCTCGTATGTATTTTTAAATTCTTTCCCATCAATGTCGTAAGGATCCTACGGCCTAGTTCCTCAATATCATCAAGTACAGTGATTATCTTTAGGGCAAAAGCTAGTACCATGGATCAAGAAACAATATGGTCTCTTTTGCTTTTTCCAAATTAAAATGGTGTCTCTTCCAATTGGTGCCTTCAAAAATTTTCTACTTACTTTAGGTGATCCTCTGAGGATGGTGTTGGAAAATATGGTGAAAGGACTTTCCCTGCAAAATACAGCTAGAGAGCTTTCGGAGGATCTTAGTATATTGTCTTCCTCCCTCCCTGTAAGATATAACTCTTGTTTTTATCCTCAAAATAATGGCATCCTTGCCGTTACAACAGTGTGAGAGTTTATTTATTTATGTATATGGTTATGCAATGGATTTTATGATAGTTCAATGGCATTGCTTAAAGCACATGCCAGAAGAAGTCTAGAATTTTAAAGGATATTCATTTCCTTCTTGCAAAAATAACTTTCACAAGCAACTATGCTGGATTGTTTAAGAAGATGTTCGGAGTTGCTGCCTTTACTTCCGTTTGTCCGGGCAGATTTTTGTTCTTCATTCAGTATCTTTCAGTATTGAAAATTAGCTGTCGATTGAGTTTTCAGGTTCTTGCTGATATATTGCCAAGAGAAACACTTCTGTGGAAACTACAGATGCTTAGGTCTGCTTCTGCTTATGCTAGTTCGCGTCTTCATTCCATCAAGACTCAGATTTTGATACTTAGCAGGTCCATCCTCCCTACGTTGAACTCTGAAATCTACATTGAGAAACTGGAATCCGTAATCAGAACAGACTATGATGAAATTGGTCGTACCTCCCCCTGTATTCTGGTCATTATTGCGATGTCCAACTTTTACTGATAAATTAATCCCATCTTTGTCATAAATGCATTTTATAATTGTCTTTTTAAACTCTGCAATTCTATCTATAGGATGCTGGGCTGAGTTTTGATATTTGTATTGTCAGTGGAAAGGATCAGTTACTACCTAGTCAGCAAGAAGGTGAGAGGCTATATCGTTTACTGCCAAAATGTGACCTTCGTAAGTTTGATGACAGGGGTCACTTCCTTTTCCTGGTACGGTTCCCTCCATGGGAGCTTTGTTTTATGTACCTTTTGATTGGAAAGATATGGAATAAGTTGGAACTCTTTGGAGGGATCCTCATATGACTGCCTTTGTTCATGGCTTACAGGAAGGCGGTTTTGACTTATTAACGATCATCAAGAGCACTTCTTTCTACCGCCGCGGCAAGTATCATGACTATGCTTTAGATTTTATACCACCATCACCTGATGAACTTAAAAACGTATTGGAAACAAACAGGTAAATACTGTGTTCTTGGAAACACATTCTTGGATGTAAACATTTGTAAACACTTTGGGCATCTGACGAAAGAAGTTGAAAGAAAACCACTGGTAATGGTAAGGGTTTTTTGGGACAAGGTTATAAGATAAGCTATATATATGTGCATAAAGTGTAGAAGTCTAGATAACTGACATTACATTTTACCAAACTGGTCATCTCCATCAAGTTATTTCTCTTCAGATGGATTGAATTGCATATAAGGAAAATAGTTCAAAAACGGCCAGGTGCTGATTTTCGTTCATATTTTTTCCAGATTGTTCAACAACCTCACAAGTGCCGTAATGCTCTCGACTTTGGAGGATGGAACGATTGTAAGAGGCCTTGATGGAATCCCTTCGGAAGGGCCCGTCCTGCTAGTTGGGTATCACATGCTTCTGGGATGGGATTTAGTTCCTCTGGCTACCAAGATTGCTTCAGAGAAAAAAATTTTAGTACGAGGAATAGCACATCCAATGATGTTCGAGAGATCAAAAACCGGAAAATTGCCTGAATTATCTTCATATGACTCGTACAGGCTTATGGGTGCTGTTCCTGTGGCTGCGAGTAATTTCTATAAGCTTTTCTCTTCCAAGGCTCATGTCCTGCTTTATCCAGGAGGGATGCGTGAGGCTCTACATCGGAAGGTAATTGCCAATGGGATGTTGCTATCATAAGCTTGAAACGGCTCGTGGCTCAAAAATTCAAGAGGAGCTGGTGAAACTTGCAGAAAAAGTTTATCCATTTTCACGTCCCTTGTCTGAGTGGGAAATTCTTATAATGGATTAATTGTAAAGGCATTTGATATATGTCAGTATAATGTGTAATCTCCATCTCTTGAATAATTTCCAGGGTGAGGAATACAAATTATTCTGGCCTGAACAAGCAGAGTTTGTTAGGATGGCAGCCAGATTTGGAGCCAAGATTGTACCTTTTGGCAGTGTTGGAGAAGATGACTTGGGCCAGGTAAGTTTCAGAAAAATTGATACATAGGTCTTTTGTACAATACAATTTACAACCACAGGAGTCCTCGACTACTTGTAGCGTCTCATGGATAAGCTTTAATGGGGTGTAAAGTATTGCGGCATTTAATGACACTTTATACATTCATATTCACATGGGGGTTTGAAGACAGAGAATAGTTGCATTAGCTCGTGATCTATTGCTATCTTGGATTTGTTGGCTATAGCGTAATAGATATGACGTTGTCTTCAGGTTGTTATTGATTATGATGACTTGATCAAGGTTCCTTACTTTAGGACCGAAATAGAAAGCTTAACAAAGGAGGCTGCCATGTTGAGGTATCTGATAGTTGCCATTAGTTTTTGTAAACCAAAGAATCATCCATTTTGTGCACTATTTCAATAGATCCAGTAGTTCTGTTTCTAGTCTTGACCGTTGGATTGAATTAGTCAAATAAGAAAATCTACTTTAATTGGTATCTTTTCCAGAGGTGATGCTCAGGGTGAAGTGGCCAATCAACAAGTTCATCTTCCAGGAATTCTACCCAAATATCCTGGCCGGTTCTACTATTATTTTGGAAAACCAATTGAAACTAAAGGTACTGCCAACTTAAAGTTAAATTATTTTTGCAGATTGTTAATTATGGGTGATTGAATTGAAAGTTGATAAACTGTTTGAAAGGGAGGGAGCGGGAGCTGAGAGATAGAGGCAAATCTCATGAATTGTATATGGCAGTGAAATCTGAGGTTGAGAGATGCATTGCCTATCTAAAGGAGAAAAGAGAAAGTGATCCCTACAGATATTTGTTACCTCGGCTTCTATACCAAGCCACGCATGGATTTACATCTGATGTTCCAACCTTTGAAATTTGATTGCTCCCTGTATTAAGCACAGATGAGTGGGCCATAAGTTACCTTCATCTGCTGTAGAAGTTAGATGGTATCAAGAGAGATTATAGTTGGAAGAATATTTAGTTATGGGTCTCTTCTTCTCTTCGGTTCTTGTTGATGGCGAATGGAAGCAAATGCAAGTTCTGGGACTAGAGCCTAGAGGGAAGAATTCATTAATTATAGTTTTATTGCAACTATGTCGATTCACTCGATAAATGTCAGTTTTGGAACACTTGAGGGAAATGTCTTGTTAAATACTGAGGCACGCCTCACGCACAAACAGCTTTAGTCACCTAATAATACATAATATTGTAAACCAACCCCTACTTTGTTTCTCTATCATATTTTTGCGGTTTTCCTTCTTTTTTTGGGTCAAATTTGGTGGCCACACTTTGTCGAACTATTCTTACATTTCTTATTTGGTATTTTTCCATCAGAAAAAATATCTCTGTCTCCAGCTTACAAGAGCATGGTAATCTCGTGGGGCTCATTAGATGCAAATGCTATGCCTTGTGAACTGATGAGAACTGGCATAAGAAGTAGGAATATATGTATGATTTCTGGTCGAGTTTGTCCCAGCCTCGACCATTCTTCCTATTCCAAATTGTTCACATGGACAGTTTACGGAGAATTTAAATATACAGGCTTGAACCAGAACAGTCGCCTTCCATAAAATTTCTATATTTCTTTTTTAATTCATGTTTAATAAAAATTCCCTCTTTCTTTCTGCTTTTCTCAAAGGAAACAACACTAAAAGAATAAAAGCAATAAATATATAAAAAAACTATAACTTCACAAAAACATCCTTATTTATGAGGGAAGTGTAAAAAAGAAAATTTATCATTTAAATAATTTATCTTGATATAATAAATGTAATGATATCAATATGAATAATTACATGAGATAAAATGAGAAATTAATAAATAAAAAATAAAAACAACTTCTAAATATTCCTAATGAATAGAAACAAATCGTGCCCTAAAACTATTTCTTTTGGGGGGAAAAAAGACAGGGGGAGTGTGTAACATTAAATAAAAATAAATATGGAAGGAACTCAAGAAAGGCTGCAGGGTAGGAGTAACTGGAGATCCTCGGAATATGTGAGTTCACGTGTCAAGCTTTGGACTGAGAATCGAAATTCTTTTTTTGCCAGCGAGAATCTAAAATTCAGCAACGACACGCCTCTTATCATTTTACCACTACCATTACGGGAAAAAAAAAAATACTAGCATCAAATTTTCTTTATCATTGTTAAATTTTCTAATGGCGCATACTTATATGTTCTATCTTTTAAAGTGTGAATCTAGTTTTAGATGATGATGTTAAAAAACAGAATACATGTCAAAGTATACTTGGAAAATCTGATGTAATGATTATAAGAAACGTTTGATCCTTTTAAAAAAATATATAATTTTTTATATGTTTGTTATCTTTATCTAATTTTAATCAATTATTGATCACGACCTACTCTTGAAGGCCTTAAAAAACGAGGAAGAACTAATGGCACGGAACAATATAAGTGTGCGGGTTAAAGTACGGCAATCAATGACGATCTGACGTCTCATTGAAATTGATGGAGTTACTGCTGCCTTAGCTGAATGCCTGAATGTCACTGACACTACTTTGGTTAATGTTGTAAGTTTTATACCCAACACCGACACAAAAAGTAAACGCCATTTCCCTTTGCTCTCAAAATACTCCACCTGTTTCTTTTTATTAAAAAATATAAGGAGTATTTTTTTAATCTTAAATAAAGTAATTTGAATTAATTATATTATAAACTTTAAATATAGAGTAATTGACAAGCAGTACTTCATTTAGTGGGGAAGAAGACATTTTTCTTTCTCCATGGATGTCCATTATCTCCCGTACCAGCAGTATATATTAAAAACCGGCATGCTCAAGGAAACACTTGTTTAAAATAGCCAATTAAGAACAAGCCCTCCGATATTATGGATTAAGGGAATTAATAATTCACCCATACATCATAATAATTAAGGAGTGTCGCTCAAAATCCTGACATCACCTATCTATGCTTCCTGGGTTGTTAGGACCAGTGACGACATAGCTAGCCAGTCATGGAATGGGAATTTATCAAAACAATGCGAGTCTCAAACTTGCATGCATGGTGTCTGAAAGTACAAGACCAGACCAGTCATAAGAATGAAGGCAAATTCAGCGTGCGTCGTTAGTCCTGGCAATGTGTGTGCCATAAATATGCCTACGCTTATAACTTAAGCCATATGCTATACTATCAATACTGTTTCATATATATATATATATATATATATAACTGAGTACCATATATAAAAGGAGTGATCGAGTTGTTTCAAAACAAGGGTTTTTGTCCCTTCAATTCTAGTTGAACCCCCTGGATTTCATTTCATCAGTACTTCTTCTCTGAGCCAAAATTGAGAGTCCACAGATCAATTAAGATGATGATGATGATGTGCTTTCAGCAAAAAGGGGTGGGAAAGAGATGGAAAAGAGCGACCTTTTTCAAAAACAAGAGAAAGAGAAGTAAACGGAGGGAGGAAATTAATGGATCCAAACGTTGCACCCAGCAACAAGGACGACACTGCATTTATGATCCATTCTCGTAACTGAGTCTTGCCTCTGACTGACTCTGCCCCACCAAATACCTATAAAGAAAAAAACATATGCCTTCAAATCAATCACGTTAGATGATGGACGTCCAACATGGGTGATGATTCATCAAAGTTTATGACTTCCTTTACACAACCTTCTCTAATTCCAGTTTATTCACATCATTTCATCATTATAAATCATGTGGCCATGCCAAGCTTTTCCTTTCCCTTTGTCTCCCAAGGAGCCGTGGAAATTTACTTGATCATAATATGCGTCTTTTCACGACATTCTTAGTTTTAAAAATGCTTATGGGAAAACAAGAGAGAAAATTAACTCATTTCCCAGAGAAAATGGGAATGACATATATGCATATATGTACTACTATATACATGTAGAGGCGAAGTTGCAGGAGAAGTGATGATTAAATGAAAACATTCCAGTTAGGATTCACGAAGACCCAAATTTCATAGTTTTGGTAATGATGAGTAGGAAAATTAGCCTTGAATTCCTTGAACATATTCATATATAGGGATTTGTACCCATTAATAGGTATTAGGGTAAAATAACTGTTTTATTTTACCCTAATAATAGGGCGATTGGCCTAACGCACGATGTCAACATCACAGTCAACGACCAATGGCGGTTTAACCTCTACTTTTACTTAATCAGAATAAAAAGGGAGCGATTGAGTTCTTAAATTAGCTAGGCATTTGAACGATGAACTAAAGATGATTCACCGATATAATGGTTTTTATTAGGCTATCAGAAGCAGATCTGGAGCTCATGAGAAAGAGGAGAAATAGAGCACTCAAGCTAAACACCAGTAACAAGTACGGAACCAACGGGCAAGCATCTAATTAGAGCTGAAGAAGCAGGAAAACCGTTGTAATTAGCAATACATAGAGAATAATACATACATACATATATATGGTGAGTGATGAAACTACAGGGAAAACATCACAAGTAGAGCTACATAGGGATAGCTAGCCAGAAATTAACTTTATAGGGAAATTTAATGGACCAAGCTTTATGGTCTGCAATTAACAGGAAAAAAAAAAAAAACCCTTTCATCCACAATGGGAGTATACCACATATCCCAGAAAGCCATGAAGAGGGAGAAAAAAAGGAAGGGATGGGGACAAGTAATTCGTAGCCAAAAAGAACTTTGTTGCTGCTGCTGCTACTATGACTCTAGTTAGTACTACGTACAATGAAAATAGCAAAGAAAAGGCAGCAACAGAGAAAACGTGGAGGAGTCACAGGTGGAGAGTAAGGTCAAGCTTTACGTGGTCGAGCTCAACAGCAGCGGAATCGGGTACGCTAGGGTTAGGGCAGAGAAATTCAGGGACGGAACCGCCATGAGAGACTAAGGGAAGAGGATTTGGACAGACGTGGTGGTGAGCTTGCATGGCTTGCTCATTCATCCGCTTGTGGTCCATATTCCAACGACACCGGTCGTCGACGAAGAAATGATTGGGAGGCTGAGGTCTGGTAATCAAGATGGGGAGAGAGTGCTGATGATGACGAGTGTTGGTGGTTCTGCGCAGGGCGGCACGTTCCTTCTTGTGGGCATTCTGGTGGCCGCCGAGAGCTTGGGAGGAGAAGAACCTCCGGTGACAGTAGTGGCAGTGGAAAAGACGGTGAGGGGGAGAGTTAGGAGGAGAAGCAGAGGGAGGAGTCATGAAATCGTACAATGGAGGCTCTGAGGATGACATGGCTGAAGGTGGGAGTGGGAGGAGTAGCGTCGTTGTGAAGTTTCGTCCCTACCTGCAAGTAAAGGCTCGAGAGTGAATAAATAAAGCAAAGATGACTGATGAATTGACGGCCATGCCCTTGTATTATAATCAAGCATTTATATATATACTATCCCGTTCTTAATATAAGACCTTGTGACTAATTTGAGAAAATTAAAAATTTTTAAAAATTGCCTAATTATAACAAATGTTATATGATCTTTCTATAATACTTATATGTGCATCATATATTAGTCTATAAGTCAGGCAAACTAGTTTAGAAAAAAATAATAAATATAAATATTTTAAAGTAATTTTTTAATTTTATTAATTTCTCCAAATTACTCAACCGAGTTTTATATGTAATACTACTACCAGTTCTTAATATAAGATCTAATTAACTAATTTGAGTAAATTGAGAAAATTAGTTATGTTAGTTATTTTGTACTACCTCCAGTTCTTAATATAAGAACTAGTTGACTAATATTGAGTAGATTAAAAAAACTAGTTGAGTTAGTTATTTATAACGAATAGGTGTTGTATTTTCTAAAATATCTTTGTTAATTAAGTGTATTGGCTATAACTATTATTATTAGAAAAACCATATTGAGAAAAAATAAATAAATATGAGAGACAAAATAGGTTAGAGACTTATATTTAGAACCAAAATAAATCAAACGAACTATTATACTAAGGATTAGAGGTGGTAATAAATAGGTGTTGTCTTTTATAAAATACCTTCACTGATCATGTGAATCAACTATAATTACTATTTGATGAAACTGTTAATTAATATGTATAACTATTATAAGGATTACCCAAAAAAATCAAGATTTAAGCTAACTCTTATATTAAGAATCTTAACATTGGCAAAAAAAAAAAAAAGAATCTTAACAACTAGAAATAGTGTGTGTGTATAAATGGAACGGTGCGCGTGCAACCTGAGGATTATATATGCACGAGCTATTATAACTTGATAAGCCCTGGCCAATTGCTTCCATGGGATGGTGGGCATTTGAATGAGATGAACAAAGATGCAAGAAAAACAATGAATATGCATGTTACCTGCTGTTTTTAATATAATATTTCATTTAATTTTTATTTTGATTTTAAATATAAGATTCTAACTTATTTTGTCTCTCATATTAATTAAATTAGTCAACTAGTTTTTATATTTAGAATTAAATACTTGTTTTCTTAAGTGGGTGATGTGAGAGAAACCCCTGTGAGAGATCGACAACACATCAGTACGGTTGGGACATTCCGTAACACTCAACATCATGTCCTGCTTTGCCATCTATCCCATCCGCTTCCACCCACTTCAACAAAACCATCATTACTAGTTCCTAAGAACCCCCTCAGTACTTCAGTTTCCCCTTAGTTCCCCTTTGTTAATTATTCTGAACTTTTCTCTTTTCTCGAAACGACCTCCCCATCCTGCTGCCCACATGTCAGATTACATATGGCACTGATTAACTAACACTGAAACCCACATCAGATGGCTCACAGTTCTATGCTCGCTCATTTCATATTTCGCATTATTCCTTCTCCCTCCTTTCCATCCTCTCTGCAACTCGATTCATTAATGCAGAAAGCATATCCCTTCTTATCTTAATTACGCCCTCATGCACCTTCCATGCATCTTCACCACTTTAATTTATAGACAGACAGATCGGTTTAGTCTTCGTAGTAATAAGCTCATCATCAAGTTTTTGGTTTCGAGCTCCTCAAGTCGAGTGTTATATATTACTACCTCCGATTGTTATTATAAGAGTTAACTGACTAATTTGAATAGATTAAGAAAATTTTATTTGTAATAAATAGGTGTTGTATTTCTTAAAATATCCTTACTAATCAAATGTATTGGCTAAAACTATCATTATTATAAAGACTATCTTAGAAAATAAAGAATATATACGGAAGACAAAGTGGATTAGAGTCTTATATTCAGGACCAATATAAAAGTTAAATAAAATCTTATATTAAAAGTCGGAAGTAGTATGTATTAACTGACGTGAGACGTTTTGACATTCAAAGACCCCAAACCATGACATTTGCGAGAAATGGATTGGAGTCGCTATACCTTTTAGTTATATAGTCATCAACTAACAAATGCCACCTTCTCCAAATTCCAAGCTGAAGTCAGTAAATATGTGCGTGTGTGTTCGTCAGAATAAGCAAGTCAAAAATTGGGTCAATATAGTTTACACTAATTTTTAATTTTAGTTATCTAAGTTTTAAATCATAAGTTTCGATTCTCTTAAAAAGCAAAATAATCCAGATTTTTATTAAATTATACAATTATAAAAAATAATATTTTAAATAAAAAAATTTAAGAGACCAGAAACTATGACTTATATTAATATCTTTCATCAGAACAGACGTGCCAGAATCTGTAATCGTATTTTTCTCCAAAAGAGGCCCGGTTATAATGTTAATATAAATAATCACATGATTATTTCAGTGAGAATATTTTAACTCACCTCAGAAATTAGCACGTAATACCTAGCTTCTAGAACTCTTCTTTATATATATATATATATATATTGCCATCTGTGTGTATATATATATATATATCTTAATTATTTTTCCTTTAAAAAAGTTGATATGTTTTCTCGTTCATTTTTGATGAGGGAAAATATTAAAAAAAAAAAAAAAGGGCTCACAGTCTTCTTCAGCTTTTCCACCTCTTCTGGTCGTCAGCGCAATAATTGGCCAATTGCTACGAGGTTCTTCTTATGAAGAAGATAAATAAAATTAAAAAAAAAAAAAAACAGAAAATGCCTTTCCTTTCTTAGGCCGAGGAAGATTCGAATGCAGCATTATTGGATTGTTGAATGGATCTCCATGTGAATTCTTGAACTTCGTGCATTGTCCTAGAAAATATATTATTGACTTGCCACGGAAAAATTCTAATTAAATTATATTCAATATTTTTTATCAGAAATATTACTTTATTTGGTGACATTTAATATATATTATAAAATTATGAAATGTTCCTATTATTTATTTTTATTAATTTTTAGCACGACAAGTATATTCTTAAGATAAAAATAAAATCAGCTTTTAAACAAATGCATACTTTATTTTATTAAAATATTTTAATTTTGATAATAGTTGGTAAATCAGCGCGAGTTCCGAAATCTTAGGATTCAGGACAAGATGCTCTGAAAACTAAGGTGTTTTAGGATTGCCGATATCGTGATAATTAGCAAACGATGAGGCAGGAGTGTCACGGAATTTTGCATTTTTTCCCCCCCAATTTATAAGGGGAAAAACACGAGAAATATAGTACTCCTCCAATCATTAATATAATACTCCTCTAATCCTTAATATAGGATCCAATTCTTGAGTTGGTTTTGGTCTTAAATATAAAACTCATTTTTCATATTTATCAATTTTCTATAAATTACCCTTATGGATACTCCCTTAACCATAATCAAGTAGAAGAGGGAAATGAGTATTAAAAAAAGATAATTATGGTATTTTAGGAAAAATGTGTCACTTTTCTTATAATTAACTAACTTACCTAATTTTCTTAATCTAATCAAATTAGTTAAATGGACCTTATATTAAGGACCGGAGGAGTATCTAATTTTTGAATTGGTTTTGGTCCTAAATATAAGACCCATTTCTCATGTTTATTAATTTTCTCTAAATTACCTCTATAGATACTCATTCAACTATAATCAAGTAGAAGATGGAAGGGGCATTAAAAAAAATAATTATGGTGTTTTAGGAAAAATATGTCATTTTTCTTATAATTAACTAACTTACCTAATTTCTTTAATTTAATTAAATTAGTTAAATGGGTTTTATATTAAGGATCGGAGGAGTAATTAGTAAATCCACTTCTCCCTATCCTTTGATTTCATGTTCTCATCCGAATTTTTGTCATATGGTTTGATTCGAATGTTTTCTGGTTAAATTAGGATGAAAAATGGCACCCAGAAAAGGGCAAGCACTTAAAATTACCAAATTCACTTTTACTTTATTCAATGCATATATTCATGTCCATTAACAGTTTATTTAATGAGTGTTTGAGTGAAAACCAAACCATAATTTTAAAAATAATTTGATGGTATACGAAGTAAATAAACTAAGGAGCTTATCTAGATTTATAAAAAAAGTAATTTTTAAAAGTACTTTTAGAATGTTATAAACATCCATTTTAAATCAATTAGTATACAGGTTATTATCCGTCAGGGGTTTTTCTTTTTCACAATGTTATTAAAAAAAGAAAAGGATAATAAAGGTCACACGTACATACATGACATTGTTAACCCAAAACAGAAAAACTTAGTCAACAGATTTTTAATGAACAATCAGACAAATTGAGTTTACAATTTAGTACTACTTCTTGTTCTTAATATAAAAAATAATTGATTAATTTAAATAGATTAAAAAAATTACTTAAATTAATCATTTATAATAAATATGTATTGTCTTTCTTAAAATATTCTTATTAATCAAGTATATTAATTAAAACTATCATTATTATAAAAACTATTTTGACAAAAAAAGATAAATATAGAAAATAAAGTGAATTGAAATTTTATATATAAAACCAAAATAAAAATTTAAAAAACTTTTATATTAAGAATAAAAAGTAGAATAATATAACAAATCCCTAAATTGAGATAGGACCCTAAACTTCAGAATTAACATGTGAAGAAATTTCACTAAATCCATACAGAATTTGAAATCAAAGGAGAACCCGCGTGGCTTCAAACTGATTTTGATAATTTAAGTCTGCCATAATGCTAAACATTTCATGGAAATAAAATAGCATAAGCATCCCAAATCTGATATGCAGCATCCAATAGCAGCGAACGTAGATAATGCAGCTGGATTTTGTTAAACACTATAATTAGTGAACAAAAATATAAAATTAAAATTCGTACAAAAAGATCAACGTGACACATAATCGCGCAATTGTGTGGAGTTTAAATTTAATTTTCATAATCACCGGTTCTAGTGGAGTCAGTACAATTTGTGACGAGGAACTATACATAAACATCGTATGTACAAAAACTTGCCTGAAAATTATGAGACAGAACCCTAAACAACGTTCTGCTGAGCAAGACCCTAAAACTCTACACAGCCAACGCGAAAGTACACTCGCAAGAAATCAAAGCCCTCATACTAACATTCGCTCCCCAGAATTACACTGCGTCTACAGAAGCAACAGATTTAGCTCCCACCTGCATCCACTGAAAATCCTCAAGCTCAGAACAGAATCAGTTGACAAGGTAAACCCCAATACAGAATAATCAAACGCGTGCTAAGATAACAAAAGCACGAACAGCAGAAATTACAATAACACACCTTGGATTTCCTTGGAGCGAGAAGCCAGGTCAGATATGCTTGGTACCCTCTCGCTGTCTGAGAGGGATATAGGATTCAATGGAGGAGACACAACTTCAGCCTTCTCAGGAACTTGGGAAGTATCTAAAATCTTAGCAACGTGTAATGACATTCCTCTCTGACTGCTAGGGGGTATAGAAAAACTCCGAGAAACAATTAAGGGTGGGGTTGGAAGTGGGGATGCGGCAGTGGATGCTGCAGAGGGAATTTTATTAGTCGCAGAACCCTCCTGATTTCTTGACACCAATGGAGCAGAGTGAGCTACTTGCGAAGATTTTGCAGGCTTGGTGATTTGATTATTAGGAGGTCTAGGAAGCTCATGAAGCTCACTCATCCTCGTTGAAGCAACAAAGGAAGGTAAAGCACTAGATGATGCTTTTGGAGATAAAGGCTGAGGCATTGAAAAACGTGAAGGCACCCCAGAAACAAGCGGCGGTGTTTCAGCAAGTCCAATGGAATTGCCAGATGAAAGAGGTTTTACTGACACCGGTTTACTAGTCAATGGACCTGAGAAAGCTTGTCTTTTGACCTTCTTAGTGTCAAAAGCAACGTCGACTTGTGGAGGTGTCAGTCCCTCTGATGAAGGACGCGGTAGCTGAGTGGAAGTGGAATCCGTGTTGCTTTCTTTGAGGACAGAAGGAGCCCCACGGTTAGCTCGTTCAGAAGATTTACCATCACCACAATCTTTCTCGTTTTTCTCATCTAACGGAGAAGAATGCCTCAAATTATGTGAGCGCCCACTTGAACTTGTGCGGGTGGCTGCGTAACTTGATTTTGTGATATTTGTTTCTTTTATGTCAACAGGTGTAGGAAGTACGTAAGCATTAGACTTTGCTGTAGATGGTGTTACCAGTTGTCTAACTTTGTCAGCAGGGTCAAACTTCTTTTCTGCAAATATTGGAGCTGAATAGCTGCTGAATCTATGCTCTCTAGTAGAGACTTTAAGATCTCCTCTGTCTAAACTGGCCTACCAGAAGAAAAATTGAAAATTGATACAATTTTTAAACATTGACCCCAAGTGAAACTACGGGATCTTTTTCACTTAATGATCAACTAGAACAACGAGGCTACAACGAAAATTGAAATAGGCAACAATATCATGCGAGGCCAACATCTCTAAGGTTTCTTATGCTACCTTAGGCGCTTATAAGGGAGCTAAGGAATCATTCAAATACAGTATCTCATAATCAAGCAACCATTTGTTTAAGCTTTTTTTGGGGGAAATAATTTGAAAATCACCTTTTCTCCTCCCTTAAGCTCAAAAAAACATGCCCTAAATTTGATTTTTGAATGTTATGCTCAAAAGCAGATTCAGAAGTATATTATTGTGAGCAGTTTAGCAAAAGTAATTTAAGATTTAAATTACAGTTTTGAATTAGATAAAATAAAAGGAGAAAGAGATAACACCTCTGAAGTTTCTGTTGTTGTAGCTTGAACATATGAACCTGATTCCTCCATCTGATAAAAAATCAACAACAATTATATCATTATAATATGAATTAATTATTCAAGTTACACATTAACATGATATCACTGTGATACCTCTGTAGAGTTCCGTGATGTTGCAACATCGAGTCCCTGCTTATATTCACCCGCTTCAGTTGCCTCACAGTCATACTCACCATCACCCTCAAGTCCACTGAGTTGGTAATCAATATGTTGTTGTTTGGTAACCATCCTAACATGAGGCTCAGCAGCCTCAAGTGACTGGAGCCCCTTGCGAAAGAAGCTCAACTATATTTGAAGCAGAATAAGAAGAAAAAAAAGATACATCAATAGCTGCATTTAACAAAATAAAATGGTACAAACTCAAAGGTAGGGTTGAAGTTCCAGAAGAAGGTAATGATGTGAAACTTCACAGGTTTGAAGAAAACCTGAGCAGCGTAGTGGCGGGCTGCTTGAGTTAGGAGACTTCGGGACTGCCCCTGCTTCAGAGATTTTAACCGAAAAGCATAAAGGGTTGCTTCCTCTTCATATTCATCCTGAGCTGCTTGCAACTGCTGTGGAGTGATACTTTCACCCTTTGCACCTTTTGACTTCCCCTTTTCTTTCTGTTGGGCAATCCTGTATTCATAAACTTCTCTGAAGACAATGAACCAGAATCAGGAAGCATTCGCTTAGATGAAGTAAAATAACACATGGAAATGCACAGACCTTTTTTCTTCACATTGCCGCTTCATATTCTGCATCAGGAATAATGGATAATTGAGAAGCAGCACTATTACATTTTATATGCCATAATTATAAACCAACATGTCATTATACATATGGTTTTAATTTCTTTTTCATTAGGGAATCTTTATCACAGATAAGAGAAAAACACAAATACAGGCGTGCAAGATATCCTCACTCAAAAGTTAAAAATACAACCCCCCGCCCCCTTGGGGGGGGGGGTGGTTGAAAGGCCACGATAGCTCATAAATGCGGTAGAGCTGATCAATCTGTCAGCTTGTCCTCAAGGTACCAATGTCCATGGCACCAAACGGGAAGCCATGTAAACAACACTCTCCCATAAAATATGTAGGGGCGACTAGGCCCCAAGATGCAGGGATTCCTTTTCAACCAAACCAACCAGAGAATCCCAAAACCCAACTTTACCCCAGTACTTAAATAAACTATGCATGTTAATAAAGGACAAGGGGTCCTGATACATTCTGTTCTGTCCCGATAACAATTACTCTTCCCTCGTATTAACCATTTTTAATAGCAGTGCGTCATAATTCAAGTGCTAGAGTAATGAAATAGATTCATAAAAGGCCAAATAAATGTACATATTGCATTCATAACGTAACCATTTAGGAGTTAAACAAATGATAAAAAGAAAAGTAAATAAACAAACCTCAACAGTTCCTAGTTCTGAGAGAAGAATCTCTGCAGGGTTTGCTATTGTCAGAAATATGTGAGAACGCTGAGGAACAAGAAGCATAGAGTCAGCACAGATTATGTGTAAAAGCATCATGGTAAAATAAGAGCAAATAATTCAAAAGCTTTCATCCAATCAAAGACTCACATAGCTATCAAGGAGTTGTTTAAGTTCAAGCTGCACTCTGCCAAGCCTCCCCAAAAGTTTGCCTGGATATGTTGCACAGATACTAACCAACTATAACACACACCATGCATGAATTGAAACAATTATCATAATGGCTCAGTTGCTTGAATAGGGCAGTAATGACCCACTTACCGCTTTCTTCATCATCATACAGTGAAGTTTTCTCCAACAGAAAAGTACCCATTTCCTGCAGCGACTCAGAGAACTCTGGAGAACCCATGTATCATGTCCAAGTTATAAAATTGGAAAAATAGATAAGCAAATAAAAACAGGATGGCCAATCAGCAGAATTTTAGGGATGAATAAATGTTTACCTACCATAAGCACTGTTTGCAGTAGCAGCGGCAGCTGCTAGCAAGCTATCGTAGCAATTTTTCATCTCTTGCATATCCTGCCCAGTGAAAAAGAAAACCTATAATGTACTTGGAATCAAAGAGCCACAGAGGGAAAAAGGAAAGAAATGAAACTCTACGAGATGTCACCGGATAGAAGCAAGAAAAGCTTTTAAATTTCCATATACACAAAGTAATTCAAAGAATGTTAATTGGGCAATAGGCACAAGTATATAAAGGGGCAATCAAAGGGAAAGAATTCTCGCATCTGAAACACATTAGCCATTGATTATCCTTGGAACAAACTTCCCTCCTCATACGTAAGAGTATATATTATGAAGGAGGCATTATCAATATAATCTATTACTTCCCCTACCAAAGACGAGCTTTAATGGTGTTTTGTCAGTAAAGCACATTTTACTAGTTGCAGCAAAACAAGTATTTATCCCACCAAATGGATAATAAAAGCAACATTTAGCAAATATCGTGACACACTATGAGCATCATCCTTTCAGCAGCAATTCACCGGCCACGCTAGCAAATCCTCGCCAATAATTGGAATTCAAAGATGGTCCACTCAAGTTTCCAAACTCAACTGGAGAGATCAACTATCTCCTGAATCATTTCAGGAGAATTATAATTGCAACCTTTAAACCAAAAATGGAAGCCCTCATATGCAAAGACGATAAGGCCTTTTTGGACAAGTGCATTATCTAATTCCATTTTTCAGGTCACATTTGCCAGCAAGTGATTAAGTTGGAAAGAACCATCGCGTAAGATAACACACGGAGCAACTCAAAGACAAGAGGAAACAAGTCGCACGAGTACCTTAGCAGCCTGAGCAAGCTCATCGAACTTGGACGAAGGCTGAGCGTCCGTCTTCTCCTTCTCAGCGCTCTTGTGAAGTGCAATTCTCTTCAATTTACTGAGAGAGGATTTCATTTCCGGGAAACCCTAAGGCAATGGCCCAACCACGACAGAGCAAAGCGGGGAAGAAGAGAACGGAGGCCTCTTCTTTCCTTGGCAATTCGGAGAGAATCTCAACTCCAAGTCCCCAAACAAAGTCCAGAATTCAATTCCATACTCTCAGCGACATGGAAGAAGCTTGCTCAATTGAGTCAAAATGACACCGGACAGATGAGTGAAGAAAAAGACGAGAGTGAGAGATGAAAATTGCAGAAACGGGAAGAATGACCAAATTATGCATCCGGGAGGAAAGGGAAAGAGAGCATCATTCAGGCGTCATGCCCCAGTTGTTCTCAGCCTACACGCTCGTGAACCGGCGAGTGCGCCCAGTGGGCAATTTCCTGATTTCACGCTACCCTCTGAATCGGACGGCTCACAGAGTGAAACGTGGGAGCAGATGGAGACTTTAATGAGAACGAAAACGTAAAAACTAATTTATAAAATGTAGATTTAAGGTGCAAATTTGCTAGGAAAATATTATCCTAGCTCAGAATTACTCTGAAAGTAGTATCTGATTTTTAATATAAGAATTAGTTTAATTTTTAATTTGATTTTAAATATAAATTCTAATTTATTTTGTCTTTTATGTTTAATTATTTTTTAAAATAATTTTTATAATAGTTACACATGTTAAAAGTTCAATTAAATAGTTATTTTAATTAATTAAAAATATTTTTAAAAAATAATATCTAATTATTATAAATAACTAACTTAACAAATTTTAATTATTTAAATTAGGTAACTAATTTTTATATTATCTCCTGTCTTAATTCTTGTTATGACAGGAGGTATATTCAGTACAAAAAGTAGTATTAAAATAAAACAATATTATTTCTTATTATTAAAAAGTTTCCAAAACAATATTGCTGACAAATTTGAAAGTAAGATTTATCAACGGGAAGAAAATGTGAGGAGACCGTGGTGGTAAAAAGAAAAAGAGCAGACTGTTGCGCTTGGGAGAGGAAGGAGTTGTACGTATGAGACAAGATGATTACGATCGGAATAGGAAGGAATCGGAAGTTGGTGGCGTCAAGACCTGCAGTCAGTGTGTTGACTGTGGAATTGGTTCGACCAAAGGGCGCCTCCTGACGTGGCAGCATGCACTGGGCCCCACGTCTACCACGTCTACCACGTCCACATCACACCTCGTCACGGTTCCATCTTCTCCGGTCAAACCAAACTTTTTACCTTCTTTTTGACTCCCTCCGTGCCCCGCTCCTCACCCTTTTACATTTCTCTCCTCCGTGATCCGTGAATCCCATCCTGTTTCTTTTTTCCTTGACAAAATCCCATCTTTGGGGCTACGTACTTGTACATATGCATCTTCTTTTCTTTCAGGAAATGATAATACCTCTGATTTTAATTATAAGAGCTAGTTAACTAATTTGAAGAGATTAAAAAAAAGTTAAGTTAATTATTTGTAATAAATAGGTATTATGTTTCTTAAAATATCTATACTAACCAAGTGTATTGGCTAGAACTATCATTATTAAAAAAGCTACCTTAGAAAAAATATATAAATACGAGAGATAAAATAAATTAGGGTCTTACAGTTAGGATCAAAATAAAAATTAAACAAGATCTTATATTAAGGATCGAAAGTAAGAGTAATAAACATGAGTGACAGCCACTATCATTTTTTTTTCTTGAGTCTTATCTCTCCCTATATAAATCCACGTACTCGACTGCAACACAAGCATGGCTGAAAGGAATTGGAAAAGGAGGGTATTTTGGAGAATCTGAAAGAGTTAGGAAAGTTGAGTCATCGTAAGCGAAAAGCATGGAAGGAGAGAGTGCAGTCATACGGCAGATGAGGAGGGGTAGACGCAACATTTCTGTCTGATGACCAAAGTATTTACGGGAAGCATTCTGCAGCTTTTCTTTCACACAAACGCAACAAAAAGACTAGTGAATTTGAAGACACACCACATCGTACACAACAAGCTTTTGCTTTACATCACCACTACCCCCAGCTCTCCCCACAGGGTCGATGTTTCTCAATTGGATCATGGTTTAATTAATTAATTAATTTTTTTTGGGGTTTTATTTGTTCTGATTTGTACAAGTCAGGTCGAACCTGCAACTTCATATTTACAGCTATGGATTTTGTATTTGATTATTTAGAAGATTAAAGATGGTAAAGCAGTGATGATGATGATGAAGGAAGAGGTGTTCAAAATATGAATGTTGAAAATATTTTCTCCGGTCAACAATACGTGTTGCTTGATGTTGAAGGATGAATGAGGAAGAGTGCTGATTAAAAAAGGAACAAAATCAGACTTGATTATTGTGGTCTTCTCCCATTTTCAAAAGCGAGTAAGACAAAGAAAGCCCAAGACTCACTGTTGCCCACCATGCACCGTCCAAGAATTTGCCTCCCTTCGTTATCCTATATTCCTTTTCTTTTTGGCAACGAAACTCGAAACATCATTGGTGGGCTTTTCGTATTATATATATCTTCATATATGTGTTTGTGTGTATATATATATGTCCTCTATCTCTCTCTCTAAAATCATTAGTTTTTAAAAAATTAAATCTTAACTGTTTATATTAAATTTCAACAGTTGAGATTTGATAAGGACCAAAACTGATACATAAGTAAATCTGACACAAGCAGCACTTCTAGTTTTCCTTCTCTGTATAAGAATGAAGCACTTGTCATTGAAGTTATGAAACGCTATGATATACATATCTTTTATATGATTAAAAGTATTCTCAAATCATTTTGGGTTTGAAATTAATTCTATAGAACCAGGAGAGTTAAGATTAAAACCTTTTTAATGAGTGTATTTTCTGAAATTCGAACTGACGTAACTTTTTTAACATGTATTCTAACCCTTGAGCATGGCCTTTTTGGGGAAATGGCCAACCTTCTATTTGCTGCAAATGTCTTTTTTGTTCTCCTTAATTTACCCATAACATCCAGAGTTGGAATTCATAACATTGCACTGGTATCAATTGTTAGGGCTGATGAAATACTTATTATTTATCATTATATACAGAAACTGCCGTTGTTAATTGTTAACCAAACTATACTTTCTTCGTATGATAGACCAAATTTCGATGTTCCAATTCTAATACGAATAGAGTTGATAGACGCACGCCATAAAGCCGTATATCGATATAACTGCCCGATTTGGCCCACTACGACTTTATATGTACCCATCTGCTTAATTATACTTCCATATATGTGCCTTGGCCGCGGGCAGGAGCTTTTCTAGAAATATTGGATAGAATGTAGCAGTGCCATTGCTGCTCTTAATTTTGTTCGTGGTGAAGTACAAATTGCAGGATATATATAAGGTTGGGTTTCGGCGTATCAGTTCCGAATCTAATATCACGTACGTGTGTCTCGTAATTCTGTGAAGATAACAAAAGTGGCATGTTGCATAAATCAAACAAGACAATAAGTATACAAGAAATGCAGCTAACTAATGAAGGGGAGGAAGCAGAATTTGAATAAGCAATGTCCTCATCAGAATCTCAGGTTTCGCTTAATTATAGTCATAGTATTTGAGTATAGAAACTTTTCTTCTGACCCCTAAACTGGCGTGTCAAATATCATATGAGAATTAAGATATTCAGGATTTTAAAAAGCAATCCTGATTCTTCTAGTCCACGAGGCATTCGCAAGGTGGATGAAAATTAAGGATCTGCTCTTAACCCTTTTTTTTCAACTTTCTCACGTGAGTCTTCCAGCTCTATTGTCAGATCTATGGCGAACGATGCCCATTTTCTTCCCACCTGCTCTTCCCTTGTTTATAACATCCCTAAGTTTTCCCCCTTTTCTTTCTTTCTTCTCACCCTCCTGCCAAATGAGTAGTGCATTTAACAGAACACGATGCAATTAATGAATGTCAGAACTAATTTATGAACTTAAAGATTTTTTTAACCATATATATTCTCAAAAATACCTTTTTGGGATTAGGGATTTCCTTCATTGCTGGTTTACTCTTGCCCGCCATTGTTGGCTCATCATCGCCTGCACAAAGAGAAGCAACACCATCAAAAGACAGCCTTGATTTGTTCACCCAGATCTAAAACCTGGGATTATGATATGTTTGTTCACCCATGTTGTCGGTGGTTTCCACCGTGTCGGCTTCGTCTATGTCAATGGAAGATCCGGAATTGTAGCAGTATTCCCTAAAACTAGGGGAGGCGGCTCCGGTGATGGCGTCATCCCTCTCACCAATGGTGTGAGCCTCGTTCTGTGCAGCGAGGGACGGAGGCTTTGCATGGCCACCTTTCTTGAGCTCTTGCACCCCCACGCCCTCATGGTCGGCCTCCTTGACGTGGAAGGAGAAAACGGCGTCGTTCTTGAGGGGCGGAGGAGGGGCTTTAGGGGGCTCCTCGTGGATGGGTCGGACGACTTTGTAATGGAAGGGTTGGTTGTGATGGTCTTCAGGACGCAGGGCTGAAGCGCCACAACCCATGACGGAATCGGAGGGGATGGATGACGGAGGCGGTGAGAGGAAGGTGTGGTGTTGGGAAGAGAGGGGGAGGTACGTGCATTTCTGTAAAGACACACAAATGAGGGACGCAACGACGTTTACGGAGTTTGATCATATACGAATGGCGTCTCTCTGTTTGATTTAGCGTTCCTCTGATTAAAGATTTTTTTTGGGGGGGAAATACTGGGTTTATAATAAGAAGTCAAGTATATTAAGCGAGTAATTTATAAATAGTATTTAACAATATTTCACTAATCAACTTGATATATACCCGTATTTAATATAAGACCTTGTTTTTTACTTTTATTTTAGTTCTAATTATAAGACCCCAATCCACTTTGTCTCTCATATTTATGTATTATTTCCAAGGTAGTCCTTCCAATAATAGTGGTTTTAACCAATAAACTTGATTAGCAAAGATATTTTATGAAAGATAATACATATTTATTACAAATAACTAACTTAACTTATTTTCTTAATATCTTCAAATTGGTCAACTAACTCTTATAATTAGAATCAGAGATAATATATATATAGTGTTATAGAAGTGGTCTATTATACATGCAAGATAATAAGATAATGGATTATAAAATCCGTTTTTTGGGGGGGGGGGTTTTGAGAATTCAAAATAGTTTCAGGTAACGTATTTATAAACATAAATGAATGCATCCTACCAAAAAAAAAAAAACGAATGCAGTTGTACAGATCCCCTGCCACGCAGCTCACGTGCTGCGCACCAGAAGATGGCTCACTGGGCCTTCTTCGTGTTTTGAGTGCAGCTAATATAGGGAACGTTACTTGTTCCCTCTCTTTTTTTTTTACCAGCCGTTACTTGTTCCCTCTTAAATCTTAATACCTCCACCCCGTGACATAATTACAATATCTAAGCCAACAAAATTTTATTTCTTCATAAATTTTGCAAAATAACTTATACATAAAAGCGCAAAAGTAAAACAATCTATAACTACGGAGGTAGTATTTAAATGAAATTCCGTCGCTGCGATGGAAGACATGCTTGCGCAAGCTGAACTCAATCCGTGACTGTTTAATTATTTCCTTTACCCTTTTTTAAATTTAACTAGGTATGTCCTATAAGTATTCTGATAATTTCAGCATTTTATTGTTTCTTTACGTTAGTATTAATTGTTTCTAAGATTCATATTTATGCAATATTTAAAACCCACGTAACTCATGATTGCTTACTATATATTATGACTTTTCTTGTATGTTACAAGTTTACGAAACGGTTTTCCATATTGTTTCCCTTTATTTTTTGCTCATCTTTAATTTGTTTAAATTTTTTCTTATAGCTTATTAATTACTTTTCCTTTGAAAATAATTTAATACACACGTCTAATTGAGGAATTCAATCTATAATAATGACAGTAGCATTCCTAACAAAACACATTTCAGTAACCATTTATCAGTGTGCAGTGGCTCAAAAGTTGTAATAACAGAGAAAAGAAAGAAAGAACGAAAGAAAGTCACTGTAAATATGTGACACATTATGCAAAGATACATATTGAGCACATATAGTACGCGTAAGGAGGATAGGATTTTTTTTTTTTGGAGAATTAAAAGCAGTCCAAAAACCTAATATGAGCAAGCAAAGAATATCTTTCATGTAATGGACTCTTCATCGAACAACTCGTTTCATATCCATTTGACGATTCCAAACTAATAGCACTGATTGTCCCGTGTATATTATAAGGTATGATCTAGTTCTATAAATATGAACTAGCAAAATACTGTCTCCACTCTTTAATACAGAACCTTGTTTGACTTTTATTTTAATTCTAAATATAAAACCCTAATCCACTTTATCTCTTATATTTATCCTTTTTTTCAAGATAATCATTTAAATAATGATAGTTCTAGTCAATAAACTTAATTAGCAGTGATATTTTAAGAAAGATAACACCTATTTATTACAAAAAACTAACTTAACTTATTTTTTTAATTTATTTAAATTAGTCAACTATCTCGTATATTTAAAATAAAGGTAGTAATAATGATGGTTCCCCAAGTCTGTTGAAAACCGTCGGCTATGGGCTATGGTGGAGCTAGCAGATAGGCAGAGGAATGATGTGGCAGCGATATATATGGGGAAAAAGTGATTGATATAGCAATAGTAAAAGTTGGTGAAATTTAGTAAAACTGTGCGTAGAACTGGTGGAGGGTGACATATCGTAGCGTTCTGTGCAATTCAGTGATCATAGCTGATGAATAGCTGATGATCTCTCAACAAGTTCACATATTTTTCTTGCGCTTCTCTTTCACCTGCTCCTTCTTAGCTTGTCTCACAAAATAGCATACGTACTATGTATGTTCCAATGATCAAATCTGGTGATGAATCTTTATCTCTTTGAATTCTGCGGGCATTTCACTTCTAAAAGCTTCATTCCATATCTTGTGCCCATTCCTTACTTATTCCATATCTTGCGGGTTCTGGTACCAAATCTTAGAGAACAGTTCATACAGCAGCTATTCTACATATGCATAAATAGACTTATTGCAGTCTCTCTTCTTTCTCAGTTCCCACCACCTTTATAGCGATAGAGCTGTAAGTTAAAAACCCTTGAGATCTCCTGCATCGCACGAGCAATTCCTACTCCGTTGTGTTTCTGGTTTCTACCCCGAGATTTCTGCAACAAAGTTCGTGCAATTTGTAGAAAAATGAATCTGAATCATAAGAAGACAGTGACAATACAAAGGATGGCTGATGGAATGAATCTGTGATTGGATTGGGCGTAGAAAAATACAACAAAGTTCTATGTTAGTTGGTGAACAACACGAGATATTGCTTTTATTAACTCAAGCTACTCATACTTTCTAAGCGTCTGTGCTGCACATCGCAAAGTTACTACTCTTCGGGAATGTGACAGTTGCTTCTGTTGAAATCGCAGCGTTTCTTTCTTAGATTTGCAAGACTATATATGTAGTGTTATTAACTCCAACAAGTATTCCTGTTGGAAATAGCTTCTATTATGATCATCGACTCATTACTACGTACGTTCATAGGTGTGCCAAATATAAGAGAATGGTGGGGGAACAAAATCTGGGTAGGAGGAAGTAAAATCAGCAACAACATCATAGCACAGTGTCCTAGGCCCAACATGTGTGGTCTACGAATAGGTTTTCTGGTGTGCTTCATTCACAACAATGATGGCCCGTAAAGTCTGCATTATTATACGACGCTCCCAATGGCCACTGCATTCTGCCTTGCAAGTATGACATGTGCGCCACAAAAACACAGGATTTTATTATCTCCGGTATTTAATATAAAAGTTAATTAATATTAAGTTAATTATTTGTAATAAATAGCTATTATCTTTCTTAAAGTATCCTTACTAATCAAGTATATTGGTTAAAACTACTATTATTAAAAGAATAATTCTAAAAAAATGAATAAATATAAAAGACAATATAGATTAAGATCTTATATTTAGAATCAAAATAACAGTCAAATAAGCTCTTATATTAAGAATAAGAGTTAGTACTACATACCACAGTCCACTGCCACCACAAAACTCTGTTCCCCACTTATTTCTTAACTGCGCTCAACCTAGTATTTCATTTCCTACGAACTTACACCTAAGAAATCCACGTGATTGTTCATGAAATAATATTCATGAATTTATAGTTTGCAGATACATATTGTGCTCGCATTCCTTTTTTTTTTTTGGGGGGGGGGCACAAGGACAAAGAAACAGAAAATTAAGATGGATAAGAGATGGAGCAAACATGGCTATATAGGAATTCTCTAATATTGATGAGCTTTTAGTAACATAAAAGTTAATTAAACAACTAATTTAAGAAGATTAAAAAAATTAGTTAAGTTTGTTAGTTATAATAAATGTGTGTTAATTTTTCTAAAATATACTCTTTAATTATGTGCATTAGGGATATTTTAGAGAAAACATTATAAATTTAAGAAACAAAATGAATTAAGATCTTATATTTAGAATCAAATTCAATCTTTAGTTAGTTTTTATTCATTATGAAGAACTATAACTAGGCATGATTTGGCCGTGTTTTCTTAATACACAATCTTTCTATGCACACAAGTGCTTGTTCATTACAGAAGCTTATAGGAAGTGCTACTCATATTATAATTAGATTGATTTTATTTCAGTTTTATAACATTTAATCTGTAGTTCGTTAAATAAGTCAAGTTAGCAATCATTAAGTTATTTCACTTTCATTGCTAAAGTCTTGTTTGAATTATATATATACTATTTGCCCACTTGGAAACGCAAGCCTCTTCTTCAATCGCACGTATAGCTGTATCTGAATTATTCGGATTGGATTTTTCTTAGCTGGATCAAAAACATGTCTTTCTTTATATACATACTGCCTACCTAATACAGTACAATAACTAAATTAAAACAGATCCATGAGGGGATGTTCTAATTATGTTTCCAGATAAAAACATTTAATTTGATTCATCGTCACCAACCATATATGAAACAAAATAAATATGTCCTCATCCTCCAGCACCAATAATAAGGCAGCGGGATCTAATTACAAGATGCTGATACATGCATGCGTGTCTGGATTTTGCCTACTCTCTTAACACTATTCCTATTTCTCATCATGTATATATATTTATAGAGATTACTATATATGTGTTTGTTAATGTTTTCCTTTTTGGTTATATTAATCCATACCTTGCACCGCCTAAATAATTTTTCTTCGATGTCGGCATTATTGCGAAAAGGAATCTTTTTTTGTCAACAGCGATGAAGAAGTAATATAGAGAATTTGATGTAATGTCTTGCTTGCTTGCTTGCTTCCCCAACTTAACCGACGCATAGTGTTCTTTTCCCCTCCTTTTCTTTATCTTTCTCCTGTTTAATTTGCGCCTTGTTCCCATTACTAACCCAACCAACACCAGATCAATTTAAAATTCAAACGCCTTAATCATTTCGAATATTTAGATTCACCATTACATCAAGAATATTGGATGGTCGAGTCTGATAGAATTATGCAAACGTTCGCTGTTTTTGTTTGCACTCTGAGGCATCTCTTTTATCATATCATCATTTATCCCAGAAAGGGACTTCTTCTTATTCTTTTTTCTCCTTTTTTTCTTATAACTTTCGATGTGCAACGAAACTATTCATGAATGGAGGAGTATTGAGTTCTTGAAACTGAAAGACAGATTCTTTCAACCCCATGTGCAGATGCCTCAATGTTGTGGTCGTGTATGTTTATGCTTTTTTACCCATATGGTATCTCTGGTTTTCTTTCACAAAGATTATGATTAGATCCTTCATAACCTCTTTTCTACTTTCTTTGGATGCCTCCCCTTTGTATGTTTCTTTCTATCATTATTTTATACTTTGGATCATCTTTTTGTCTTTAAAAAAATATCCCTGGCTTTTGATAATAATAGAGGCCCACATTCTGATTAGCAATATCAGGCAATTATATATATATAACTATCAGATTGACTTTTTATTTATTCATTCATTTGTTCTCTCCCCCCACTACAATGATTCCCACATGATAATTATTATCGACGGGCCAAGCTAAAGAGGATTAGGAATGCTAAAACAAACTAAGTTGCTTGTTTAAACCAGTTTCTTGAACCCACTGAAGAGAGAAAACCCCACCTATGCCATTCTCATTAACTCTAGCATATGTAACAGTCGAAAGGAAAAAGGCAAAAGAGATAAACAGGTTTTCAGGAACTAGATGCTTCTCCTCCATCGGTTCTCAGCAGAATTTCAGGAAAGTTAATTCATATCACCGCTTGGACTAATCTAGCTAGTTAGAAGCGATGGTGTCACTGCCTTCGCTGACACTCGGAGACGACGGCGGGGGCGGGGCTTCGTCGGAGTCATTGCCATCAACAGTGAAATCAATGAAACTGGGTTTGGCTCCCTCAAGCTTCTGAACTTTCTCCATGTTGGACTGCTTCTTAGACCTCTTTCTCTTGGGCTTCTTCTTCTTCTGAAAAACGCGGTAGACAGCCCACTTCGCCCAAGCCATGATCATCTACATTTAGTTTCAACACACAAATCAAATATCAGACACTGATAAATAAGACAAGATAACACAAATCATCAAATGCTGACAAATAAGACAACATGGTGCAGAACTTTCAGGGGATTGCTCTGGATAATTACTGTTCTATTCTTTACCTGAGTTGGGAAAACAGTCATTCCGGGGCCGGCGAGGCGCAGCTCATGCATAACCCATTGGGTTTCAGTCTCGTCGGAATAGTCGCCTCCACAGAAAACCAGGGTCTGCCTAGTACCAACCACCAGGTTGGTGACAGGAGAAACAATTGGTTTCACTTTCCCGGTTGGCTTCCAGAAGCCAGTGCCATCAGCGATCACGATTATGCCTCCATAGAAAATATCCTTCTTCTCGCAGAAAAAATATCCCTTTTCGACGGAATCTGTCTCGCCCACACCTACGGTCCACCAAACACAAATCTGACATCAGTGCATCGTTTTGATGGGATTTAATTAACACCCATGCGAAGAACACAAATTTGTCTCATCAGACGAGGAAATTTTGAGTCTTTGAGAGACATTGAGGGAACAGAGTGAACCTCGACACAGGAAAATGGAGAAAACGACGAGTATATGTCACGAACCTGGGAGGTTCCAAGGATCAATCTGGAAAACATCGAGGACAGGAATCACTGCCGCAGGTAATGGCAGGCCTAAGACCAACTTCCGGAGATAGTGAACGATGAGCTCTTCGTCGGTGGGACAGAACCTGTAGCCAATAGGCAGTTTAACGCCTCCACTGACAACAAAGCTCGGAAGCATCTCCATTCCAGAGAATCTCACACGCACACTCGAGAGACAGAGAGAGAAGGGGGCTATATATCTCAGTCTCAATCTGGGATTTGGGATCGTAAGATTGATTCAAAGGAGACCCATTTTAAGGAGAACGCACACAGGAAAGAAGGGCAGAAAGGGAAGGAAAAGAGACCAGAAAATAGGGAATGCTCGCGATGTGGCCAGGCTTGGGGTTTGAGGGGCGAGGAAGGAGCGGGCAAGTGTAATTTATACAAGGCAGGGGGGTTGAGTGTGGAAGTGAGCAAGAAATCCAAAACATTAACTCCCCTTCATAATTATGACTCAAAAACGTCCTTGACTTTTTAAAGCATTGCCTCCCTTTGACGGTCTTGGGCGAAGGTTTTCACAAGAAGCGTGTACGGGACATATAGAGTGTGGATAGTGAAACCATGTATTGCTTGGCTGCTTTTGGTCAAGATGCATGTGCCCTGTTTTTGAAAAAATATTTCTGTATATACAGTGAACCTCATGTGTACCACGTTTGCAAATCCTGTTTATACTTGTTAAGAGCCATTTATTTCCACTGATTTCCTACCCCTCTCCTTCAATTTCTGATTTCCTTCCTCTTTCTCATTTGGGTTTTCTGAGGCCAATCAATATTGCTTGTATTCTTGTGGAAAATTTTTACACTGTTTTTGGACCCGACTATCTAAATAATTGATAACTTACCAAGCAAGGGTTTCAATAAATGTAGCAAATTGATAGGCTGATCTTTACAGAAATACAATTTTTTCATATATTACTTTAATTTGTATCTTTATCGGAACTTAACCAAACGGCAATAAACCTTATCCAAATAAATAGAGTTGACTGCATAGGTATTTTGCGCCTTTTTGTTCAGAAAGTTATCTTGCATATAATGTAAAATCAGCAAATTATGAAGGGTTAAGGTGCGCCCAGCACCCCGAACTATTTACCTAGGTGCGTCCAGTGGCCTAAAGTAATTTTGGGTGCGTCCAGTGGCCTAAAGTAATTTTGGGTGCGTTCAGTGGCTTAAAGTAATTAAAATGGTGCGTCCATATCCCAGGCTAACAGAAATGTTATGTTTAACTGTTACTTTTCAGACTCGGCTTAAAGTTTACCCCAGATATTCTACATGATAGACACATGGGTACCCGATGTGTATTATTCTTACTCAAAAGTCAATTTATTTAGAAGAAGAGGAAGGAAATAAATTCAATTTTGAGTAAGAATAATACATATCAAATGTCCATATGCGTACCATTTAGAATATCTGGGGTTAACTTTAAACTGAGTCAGGAAAATAATAGTTAAACATAACATTTCTGTTAGCCTGGGATATTGACGCACCATTTTAATTAGTTTAGGACACTGGATGCACCCAAAATTACTTTAAGCCACTGGACGCACCTGGATAAATAGTTCAGGGTACTGGGCGCACTTTAGCCCAATTATGAATATTGAAATGCAAACTTCAAATATTTGGGTGGGCCACAAACACAAGTGCCAAGATGTGTAGCCAATCACAATTACACTGTCTCCTTAAATGCTACCCCTTCAGTGTTTAAATTTATAAATATTAAAAAAGTTACTTAAGTGGATTATTTATTAAAAATATGTATTTTTTAAAATATTATCTTTAATCACTTATGTTGATACTATCCTTTGATAAAAAAAATTTCAACAAATACAAATAATATAATTGATTTTAAAAAATCATAAATTTGATTGGAAAGTCAGAGAATATTCCAATTAAATGGAACAACCAATTAAGATTATGTTTCGGTTGATTGAGTCAATTAATTGGGTTAGCCACCCGCTTAAATATAATATAAATGAAATAAGTGATTTAATTTATATTATTCAGATAGTCTATATATATTATATGGATATATATAATTATGATATCTATGGATTAAGCAAGAATTTAATCCAAAATAAATCGATATTGAGAATATATGATAAAGATTTAAGTCAATTTTAAATCCAAATCATAATCTTAATGATTAAGACAGAATGATATTAAGAATACATCTAAATTGATACATGTATTTTGGATATTTTGCTTGAGGCTCTGATCCATCATTTCAACTCACCCTAATCATTGTGTTTTCTACTTCCATTCTTAGCTATATTTGTTTATCTAACAATTTCTTTTCACATCTAAAAAATCAAAACAAACTTTTTTATGTTTAGAATAAAAATCAAATGTTTTTTTTTTGCCAGCAAATAAAAATGAAATGTTGTAACACTAATTTTGACTTTTTATTTTTAAGTTTGGTGTGAATGGGTTAGATATATGATGTAATGAGATTTAGCTCATCCTAATATGCTATATACACATTGTGTGATCTTTCCTTTTTCAACACACCGGATTGTGTACACATTTGTGATTTGCCTATCATTAAAGGCTCAAAGTGACATCGAGTCCTCTGTTCTGCACTCATGATAGCTTCCATGTTCTTTCTTTCATTTTCCTTTTGACCAAAAAGTGTCTTCTAAATAACACGTGCGCCTTCAGTCCTACGTAGTATGTAGTTCTCAGCTGAATTGTTCACAGTCACCATGACAAAACGACTGTGTTTTATGTTTTTGCCAAACAGAGGTCAAACAATCGGATTAGAGTCGCAAAGATTCCGCAGTCATAAAAGCCTCAGAAAAGTTGACGCTAAAATACGCGGGAAGGTCAACCCCTGAAGATTGACTACACGCTTAATTTGAAAGTCTTGTTTATTAAAATACATCAAAACCTCACGTTGCTTAATTGCAAAATAATTAAAACTACGTAATTTTCGGGTAAGTCCCATCAAATTGGCTCAAGCTATTTTTGATGAGAAAAAAAGCAGCCTAATATACATATACACTCAAAAGAAGCACGAGCCCCAGATAAATAGAAAAAAAAAATGAAATTAAAAAAAAAAAAGTAGCAAGAGGGATATCCGAATATATATTAAAATCGCACGTTAATTAACTAGGGGATGAATTGAAGATAAATCATATGAAATTAGCTAACACTATTTGAATACTCTTTCTGGTTGGAGGAAGTCCCAGGTCTCACAAGCCTAAAATTCCAGGAAAAAAGAAACTGCGAAAACATTGCTGAAACTGATAGAATAATAAATTAATCACTCCATCACAACCGGGGAACTGATAGATCTCTATAATTCACAGAGTACTGAGTATGTACACACAAATTTAGAAAGGTTTCAAGCTCTGGTTTTGACCTGGGGAGCCAAAAACATTAGAGAATTACAGAGTTCCCCTGTTGAACAGGTCGGGTTGTGACCAAATTTACACATGATGATAATACAACATTATTGTCCCGCTCTTTTGTATTTTTGTGTGTGTATCTTTCTTAAGCAACTAGGTGTGATTTGACTATTCAGTTTGTTTTGTTTGCTTTGCATTTCTTGGAGTTATCTTTACTCTGATATTTCTCAGAGGTTTGATTTGTCTAAATTAATTATCTTTTTTTTTATTTTTTATTTCAGTGCCTTATGATAGCCTGCACTTGTTAATTAATTAGTTACACCTTCTATGATTATTTTGATATTAGCTTGTTCCTCAACGTTTGCTGGAGCTAGAAGAGACGATAAATAAATAAATGTAAAATAAAATAGAAATCACTTCCTACGACTTAAATGAAACAGGTTACCTTCATGGGACTCTACCTGATGATTCTTTTAAAATTTTGTTAAAGCGTATTACATCACCGTACTAATTTAATTAGAAAGGCTGTACAAGTTACATTATTTAAATGTTTACCGTTAAATTAAAGAGGCTGTGTGTTGCTCTGCAGCAAATCATGAAGTGCCACATATGAACTTTTGCAGACCAAGGGCCTCAGCTGAAATGATGGGCTAATAATAAAGTATTAATTAATCGACCACGACAACAAAACCATAATTTAATTATTATGTATGCTGTGTTTTTATTTTATTGGATTTTGCATTTGAAGAGAACCACGCGTCTAGATGCGTGAGGGAACATATCCTTTTGTTTTCTTCGGAGTTTCTCACGAGCATGTTTGCCTTGTACTGCTTATCAATAATCAAAAGGCACTTCATGATGAGAAAACCAATAAAGAATGATCATAATGCATCAATCGCATAAGGCATATATGCATATAAATTGATTATTATTATTATTATTGAAAAGCCAAAAACAATCCAAATGTAGATCAAAGATGTATAACATTGTTACCTGTGCTGTTGTCCGGTTGAAATAGCCTGTTAATTAAAGATTCGTTGTGAAGGTCACGTAATTAATTAATTTGTGATCTACTATAACTTTGCCTCTCTGTATTATAACATTATAATAATGAATGCAACAGATTATCTAAACCTTCTTTAATTAGCGCCATCATTAAGTTGTTCAAGGAACCCCATACCTGCCTTTCTTTCCGCTCTTATTTTTATCATCAATCATCTCCTTTCCTGTGTCTCTGATATCATTTATTAAAATTCAAACGCCATGTTCAAGAAAGCGGCTGCCTTATTCCATATACGTGAATCAAGAATAATAATATATTTGGTAAATCATCAGAAGAAATCAAATCAAATGGCGAATAGATATCAAGGATAATTCCTAACTTATTCACATATGCTTAGGATTTGGTGGTGTGCTGAGGCTGTTCTGTCCACAAAGCTAGCTAGGTTATATTCCCAATATAAGCAACAAGCAAGAGTATGTTGTTGGAGACGACGTGAATCTGAATATCTGATACCCTAACAGCGAGGGAAAGATAAGTAGATAAGGCAGTGCCTTTGCGTCTGGGGACTTCAAAGTTTAGGCCAGGCATGAAGACAGAACTAATAATCCACCGCAAACTTTCCTTTCCATTTTCTGATTCCCCCCCCCCCCCCCATTAATGGAGAACCAACACAATATCTTCTTTCATGAAGTGAATTGTAATATCTGTCTGAAATCTCGACATTGTGAACAAGTAGGTAACTATAAAGGGGAATGGAATCCTGACCTGCTGAACTTTTTTTTCCCTTCTAATGTTGATTATTAGCTTTAGATGATACTAGCTATAGGAGGGTTCAGAAGTTGGGATTTGCTTTATATAACAAAAGAAGCTTGGAATTTATTTTTCAATTTTCATCTGTATCATTTTTATTACTGAGTAAACATTGTGATTTAAAAGACTGCACTGAACTGTGAGACTCTCTGTAGATGCGAGTTTTCAAATGTTTTGCGAGGCACTGAAGTAAGCGCTTTAAGGTTTGAGTTTGTTTTTGAAATATTTGGTATCTAGCTGGTTTTGTGATGGCCATGGATGCGATGTGGAAGGTTTGATCAGTTCTTTTACCCATTTAATTGTAGTGAGATGATTCTCATGCTCATCATGTGATATATAATACGAAAACCTCACCAGGTCATGTGGGATATCAAGGTTCAAGCCCTCAAATCTAAAGTTTCCCGAATATGGCACTTCAAAATTTAAAGGAAGGCTTTAATTACAAACGCAAAGCTTGCTTTAAATAAGCATAAGATCAATTGGTAGTGATAGTCATAATAGCTATAGGTGGCAGATTTGGGTACTTGGAAATGTTGCAATGGGGTCCAAATTCAAAAGAGGAGGAGGAGGAGGAGAAAGAAGAATGAGCGTGAGGGGACCGCAAAATCATAATCATCATTATCTGATTACCACTCATTATTCACATCCACTTGATTGCTAAGAGAGACACAATCATGATGGATCGGATCTCATGGGAACTACTTTGAAATGTGTGTGTGTGTGTGTGTGTATTTTATCAAGGAGTGTGATATGATGGTTACTTTGGCCACTTTTATCGTCAAAAAGTTTACCCAAAAAGGGGATGTGATTAAGTATGTTGGAACTTGGAATCGTCTATGTCTGCGTACAACTTTGACTGTTTAAAAACTTCCTAGGCCTTTTTACAGCCTTTATGTCAGTACATTGTTATGTCCAGTATATACATGGCTGCTTGGTTGATGAGGCTGTCTTGTGAGTTTGATGGTCTCTCAAGAAGTGTTGTTCATGATTTTGAAGGCTCTTTCAGTTGCAGAGGTACCTTCCTTGTAAACAAGTTGGCATCATTATCATGCTTTCTAGATTGTTGTATTTCTATATCCTTATCTTTTGAATGCTCATTTCTTACTCCAGATTCTAAGTGAACCTCTCGGGCGTGTATGTGTATTTTTTTCAAATTACTCGTTAATATATTTATCGTTTTCACCCCAGAAAGAAAAGGTACGAGACTCTCGCTTAATGTATCATGTTTCTACTTAGAGCAATTTGGTGATGATTGATAAGTAACCTGCTGGGGCTCCTTGACTGAGAAAATGAACTACTGCATTTTATAGGCTCTAGTTATAAACTAGTGGATTCTGCCCGGGAATTATCACAGCCAAGTCATAAGGTTGAAAATCCTTTTCAGATATTTTGATTCTATCAATTTATAAAACTGTTCTTTTCGAGTGGTGTCTTGAGATCAAACTGGGCTTTATCGCTTTAATTGTTTGTCTTCGAGGTTCAGGATTTTGCCGGGAAGCATTTCTGAATCAAAAATTGCAGGGGGGCATTTTTCGTTAATGGTTAAGTGATTGAGTAGATCCACATGCAATCTCTTCTTATTTAGGAGAATATTTAGTTAATGAAGTAGTGGGACAAGGATCATGAAAGTTGTAGTCCTATATAAAAGAATTTAATTATTAAATGATTCTTGTGAATATATTCTTTATCACACTATTAAGATAACCACCAAGAAATGCAAGGGGGCTCTACACGCAATCAAGTGGAAATAAAATCTTGGGCTGACATCACAATATGAATCAAGAGCTAGAATTAACATCCAAGAACCAGATGCTACTTAATTTTCAAAGACCCAGAAAAATAAAAAAAAAGGCCCCCTACCCGCAGTAGATTCCCATTGGAAACAATGATGCGCTTTGTTATCGTCATCCATAAACTTCGTCTGCAGATTCTGACTTTCATTGAAACCGACATTTTCAGGGAAATACTTTGAAATTATAGAACCAGAAACTACTTAATTTTCATTTGACTCTAAAAACCGTGCCTGTAATGAATTCCAGTAATAAATGCTATGTTTCCACACATCAACATGCAAGCTTCGCCTCCAGATTCTCCCTTTTATGGTTTTTCTTTGACTCGGCGGCTGACATATCTTGCAGCATATAGCCAGCTTACGTATAAAACGATACAAACTTGTCAATGCATCCCGACATTTAACTTCTGAAGCACCCACAGTAATAGATTATTATTAACTTTGATTATACATGTATCCCAACATTGTTGATGCTGCTTCCAATACAACCAACCATTTTCGCTGACTCTGTTTATTATGATCTGCCAGAAGATACCACTGATCATTTAATGATCCTCAAAATATTTTGTGTCAAACTTTGATTCCCAGAGAGATTAGACTGAAAATATATGTACATGGGTTTTGTTGTCATTGCATGGCATTCTCTGCCATTTTAGGCTTAAAGAAAAAGAAAAACTCGGATGGAAAGTTGCAGAACTAAATAAAGTAAGAGAGAGGCTAAAATTACAAGACGGATGTCTTGGTTAGCGCTGCATCAATTTTGGAATAAGATTCAAAAGAAAAGACATTTCCTCCCGCGAGAATTGAGGCTTTAAGTTAACATGCGTCTTCCCCTTCCCTTCAGCCAAACCCTCTTCATCTCCATCATCTTTTGATTGCTTTATTGTGTTTGAAACTGCTTCTGTTATTTCTTCCACAAAATCAACTATTACCCCATCAATCCCCATCAGGTATTGCATGTAGACTGCTTCTGAAACATTGCTGCACAATTTATGACCAAATCACATGAGTTCTAGAATAATCGCAATAGTTAGGTACTTTCAAGCAACAAGGAACAAGAAAAATGCTGAAGGGGGCCTAGATACTTTAGTTTTCCATAGGTAAGGAGAGTAAGTTTAGAATCTTTGATCCTTGTTATTGCTCCAGGGTTCCTAAATATTGCTTCAACATCGGACACTATTCCTTGCAATCCATTCTCCAAACAGAGTTTTATAGCCTCGTCCAGGGAGTTTCTTCTTACATCGTAGTATAGTTCAGTTCCTCCTTCAGTCAAGAAATATACCTGGCATATGACATGAATTCGAGTTCAGAAGGAGAATTGCAGACTTTCAGCAATCAACAAAAGCCAAGAAAGGGCTTACAGGATAGGTGCTTTGCAATTTTCCAACGAGTTGTGCAGCATCTGGTTGAAATGTCGAGAAGATGATGGGTCTGTCCTTGGCATACTCGAAAAGGATCTGTTCCACAAAATTCCAGTGTTTGATTAGGTAAACAAAGAAAAGATAAGAGTGAAATAGAGCTCATTTTAAGGATGAAGTGAATCAAATGCTATAAAAGGATATTAATATCATACCTTCAATATAGCTTGGAGATTATGGACGAGATGGGCTTGCTCATAGACCAGGTAGTCGTCAAATTTCAGCTCAATGTTGAAACCCAACGAAGGTTCCACCTCCTGAAACGCTTCTTGGAGGGTACAGAGTGGGTCATCTTGTTCAACGTTCCAGCTCACTATTTTCCCATCATATGTTTTCCTAAGTAATGGTTTTCCTTCCTTCTCTAAATCTCGCTGAGGACCATAGCAGAGGAACTCCGACAGACAAAGATCTGTGACTCTCTTCTCGAACACAGTCCCCTGAAAATCACACCTCAGATTTATTGGAATGTTCAACATTGTTAACTATAAGGAGGACTAAGGAGAAGCTTCAAAGGCTGCACTTACATTCTCTTGAGAAAGGATGAAGTCGTCGTGGAAAATAACTGGACAGTTATCTTTTGTCACCTGTACAAAAAACCACATTTCCAGTTTTGCTTTAACTTTTTCTGCGTTTGCCTCATTCACCTTCATACCCTCTAAAGCCAAATGAATTTTCAAACAGAAAAACCCCCATAGAAAACGGGAAGAAAACCAGGAAGTAGGAAATCAGTACTCTTGTAGATTAATTGAAGCAATATGAAGGAGTAGAAAATTCAGAGCACAAGCAACCGAGACCTAACAACAATGAAGTAATCTACCTAAGCGCCAGAGTAAAACCCAGAGCTATGTTTTATTAACCCAGAAGAAAAGAAAACTTCTACATAAACACGCAGAAGTACATCACTAAAATAAGTAAATGCTGTGAATTAACTCACAGTATCAGTTTGATTAAAATTATGTAAGATAAATTTAATGGTTTAAACCTTTTTCATGTCAAATGCCTAATGCTCCAAAGAATTCAAGGAAAATATATATTCAGTGGCTACCGGACACCGCATAGAATCAAGAAAGGAAGATTAAACTTCGGTGATCGTAAATTAAAAATCGAGTCAAGAAAGGAAAATTACATTGTGGTGATCGAAAATTGAAAATCGAGTCAAGAAAGGAAAATTACATTGTGGTGATCGAAAATTAAAAATCGAATCATTTTAAAGGTTTTTTTAAAAATATTTTTTTTCAATAGTGGAGAGAAAGTCCTCAATAGTTCCGAAGAAGTATGAAAGAAAATAATGAATAAAGAATAAAAAATTATAAATGCTGTCGTATGAAACTTCCGATACTTTTTATCTTTAAAATAACTAAAATTATGATTCATTCCTACAACTACTTTCAAGCTGACCAACATTTTTCCAAACAAGAATACGTCTGAGAAAAGCCAAACGTTCAGGTGAACAAGACTTATCGTCACACAACAACTGGGAAATAATTCAATGAAAACTAGAATACACAAGAAAAAGCAATCACACAAATCGCCGGCGGCGGAAAAGCGATAAGATGGGACGATGAACACCCACCTGAACGTCAAACTCGATGAAATCGACGGAGAACTTGGCAGCGGCGTTGAAAGACACGATGGAGTTCTCCTTGATGGCTCGCATTCTCCGATCCGACGACTGCAAGGCGTTCATGCCGTTCCCTCTGTGCCCAATGACCGGAAACTTTGGCATCTGATATTCAGTCCCAGTCGTAACCACGCCTGGAATCCCCAATCCCCAAAACCAAACACCACACATTCAGCAAAACCAGCGAGAAAGAACATCGCAGTGCAAATCAAAACAAGAACGAAAGAACGAACCATCGGAGTAGCATGCGGTGGAGTAGAGGGCGAGAGGGGCGTTCTCAAGGCACGGGACGTCGGAAACATGAATAGCCTTGACAGCCATTCTCACAGAACGCCGGAGAGAGGAGGGGAGTGAAGGAGGAGAGGATATAGCAGGTATTTTGAAGATTGTTTCAGCCATGACTATGGATTTGAGGGATATTTATTATATAAACAAAGCCATACATAATACTTTTCCTGTTTCCGTAGCCAATACACTACACTCTCTTTCTGAGTCATATTCTTTGGGATATTCTCTCCCCCCCCCCCGGGGGGCCCAACCTACCATCATTATCGTCTTCTAAATTTGCAAAATCCACGTCAATTAAATTAACTGATTATCATTTACGAGTTATTATCACGTTCGGCAAAAATCGATTTTTGCAATTAGGGTTTGCTTGGTCCGATGTCTTCGGAGAAGATTCGTTGTCTCATTGAATTGGAGGGCCGGAGGTACGAATGGTGAGAGGGCAATGAGCTGGCAAAGGGACTGGGATGAGATGAGATTTTTTTTTTTTTTTTTGGGGAGCCAAAAAGATGAGATTGATAATAATGTAACAACAAACAAATTGAATCATTATGAAACGATTTGACCCGAAAAAGCTATCAAAATAATTTCTTACATGCATGTATCTTCCATTTGGACTTGATCGATATCATTAGTCCCCCGCTTGTCCTTGCTACGTCCTCCCGCCGCTGCTAATTATCTTTCCTTAATTACTTTATTATAAATTTTAAATACCTAATTCATAAATAATAATAAATTAATTATAAATATAATTTTTTAAAATATACTTTATAATAAATGAGAAAAAAATAAAAGAAAACATATGCATGATAAGAAAATACGTAAAAAAATAATTAAGAAAAAAATTTAAAAAAAATACATCAAATATTTACACATATTTTAAACTGCAGTTTATAAAATGAATCACATTTTCCTTTAAATTTAAAATTTATAATAAATCCCTAAATTTAAAACTCATAAATAAATAGGACAGGAGGGAGTACAATGCTAATTTTGGCTTTTCATTGATTGGTCGGACACTGTTGAAATTTACCAATCACGGGAACTCCTTTTCATCAAGAACTTCATTATTAGAAGGACCGCCGAAGCCGGGCTTCTTCAATGGGCAAATGTAGTTGGAACCGAGAACTACTGATTATATGATTATATAGTTATTAGTATTAATACACATAATTTATTGGCTCAACATGCTGATATTATTATTAAAAAAAATTACATCTCACAAGGAAATTAGATCCCATAATGACTATCGAATTTCAGTAAAGTAATAAATTCGTGCAATAAGTACTTAATTTAATATATAATATAAATCCAAAGACAATCAATTACTATATCAATAAAATTTGGAGGAAAAAAAATCATATTCCATTCTATTAACCCCTGTCTTCAGCCAAGGAAGGCACACAAGGATGAAGACGTAGCAGAGACAAGGAGCCTAACTTTAGATTGGCTCGTGGAGAAATGGAATGGGAAAAAATTGAAATAATAGGCATTCGCCAACACGAATAGAAGCAGTAAAATACTAAACTTGTAATAACCATTCACCCAGAAGCACACAAAGAAAAGCAGAGTAAGCGCAAGGATGAAGATCACAGGCGGAGACAGAGGATTGAACTAAAACTGAAGTAATAGCCATTCAGCAACAGCAGTCGAAGAGAAGCACGAAAAACGTAAAAACCACTCACCCCAGAGAAAATGGAGAAGAACCCCAGAAACACACAGAGAATGGAGGAGAATTTGAGAAAAAAATTTGGACCATTTCTCGATTTGTGCGTGTCATCCTTGCGCAGGGGCCATGCTAATCTTCTCTGTATCGTTCCAATTTTATCGGATGTCCCCGAAGGGACGCTCTTGGCTGCTGCAGCGATCCTATATAAACAACGGGACGGTGATAATCATCAGCGATGTGGGACTTCTGAGGATACACCAACTCGCCTCCCGGAGCTGGAAAGAAAGCAGTGAAACATATGAATGTGATGGAAGGAAGACGTAGTTCGGGAAGGAAGGATGGAAAACGAACTAATGAACGGAGAAAACAGTTTTTGTCGCCTTTTTTTTCCAATGATATTTTAGGAATAGGAAGTAGGAATATAAATACCTCTATCTGTAGGCATCCTGTAGCCTTGCTGGTTTTCTTGTAAGTCCTGATTTGACGCTTCGTTTCCTGAATGGTCTGCCCAAATCCCCATGCTCAAATGGCTTGAGTACGTGTCAAGTCACAGAAGGGAAACATAACTGGTTCAACTTAACCTAAATATAACAGTGTTAAAGCTCAAGAAAATCTCAATTACATCCTAACTAGATAGAACTCTCCCTTTTTCAGTTCCCTCGCTTTCTCAGTCAGCGGACCCGGATCCTTGACTGACAAAGAATTGAAATGAAAGGTCACGGGAGACGTGAGTTGTTAGAAAACAAAATTCCAAGGCGTACAAAATACAGAAGCACTCTTGACCCTTTGACCTATGCCATGTTGATATTCCGGCCGAAGCAGAGGCTATCATACGAAGACTTCTAGGCAAGTGACTGGAGTGATCCCAAAACATCCCAAGGCGCTTGGCTAACATTATTGGACGAAGACTTTAGGCAAGGAACTGTTGTACAAGAACAGTAAAGAAGAATTATAACTGCAGTTTCAAACTTTTTTTTTTTTTGGGAACTGAAAGGTGAGTATATATTAGTTTCAAACATTTTTTCGTCTGCTATTCCTTTCCCTTTTGAACATTGCCATTATGGCAAACCAAAAATCTCGCATGCGTTTATGAAAGACATGCCCTGAAGAAAGGTGGTTGAAATATGCCCATTTGCCCAAGAAGCAGTGAAACACGATGCAGAAGCATGGAGGAGCGATCAGTTTCCAAGGAATCACAAAATCAGTAGAAAATCAAAACCGCAAAGGAGAACGTTAAAACACCGGAAGCAGCGTCGACGGGGAACACAAGAGACTTTGACCCGCCTATCCGTTTGAGCTTTTCATCCTTGCGCGGTGGCGATGCTAGTTTTCTCTCAGGTGAGAGTCATATATGAACTTCAATATCGCGTCGGTGATGGGTGATATGGAACTCAGACTGAAGGAAACACTCTAGGCTGATTAAACTAAAGCAAGCTCTCGAATGCTCAGTACGTGTCACCCTGATAGTGACTGGATTAAGGGGTTCGAAAGAAGCTGAAGGGGCGGGTTACGAAACAATCCTTTTGCACCAAAGTTTCTGCGGGTTGTACGCGAACGCTTCTGGATGACAAGCATAGTTACAGTTAGCACCCTTTCTCTTTTGTTGTAATTTTCGCAGAAATTGTTATAGGAAAAATCTGTGTGAATTTTAAAATTTCAATTCAAATCTCTTATATTATTTTAAAATATTGTAAAATTAGTAAATATTTTTACTTTTTTTTTTGAAAATATTGCCACTTCAGCACCCTTAGTTAGTTTTTGACTATCAGAGCAGACAGAGCTCCAGTGCTGGTAATCCTGTCAGTGGCCAGCCGCCAGAACTTTGGTGACATGATATTGGAACTTTGGTAATCAGTCACCGGAATTTCGGTGACTACTCTTTTTAAGCATTGACTATTTTTGTTTTTAGAATTCTGATGACTACTCTTATTTAACTACAGATTACTCTAATATTATAATTAACTACTTTTATTTTTAAAATTTTGGTGATTACTCTTATTTACCTATGACTATTTTAGTTTTGTTATTGACTACTTTTGTTTCAAAACTTTCAAAAATACATTAAATATTATTGGAGATCTAATAACTACTATTTTTTTTAGTTATTTACTATTATCATGTAATCAATAACTATATACAAATAATCACTGGAATTTTAAAAACAAAAATAGCCAAAAATTAAAATAAAGTAGTTATAAACTATATGAAAATAGTCACCTCAAATAAGTACAATATTATCATTTGACAATATTTTAAAATTCTAAATAATACAAGAGGTTTGATTTGAAATTTTGAAATTTACCCATTCCAATTTGTCTTTTAACATTTTAAAGGTATTTTATTATCTTTTTGCCAAAAAAAAACTTATCTGCATATAAATATGAATATATTATTACTAGACACGCTTTTTATTTATTTATTTAATACTAAGACAGGACTATATTTTTTTGTGAAATTCTCTTACGAATATATAATGCGGACATGTTTAATACAACACTTATTAGATCCATTACCAAAAATATTACTTCAAGTCTTATAGTTCAATTGAATGACTTGATAATAAATTTTTAAAGCTGCGCGTAACTATTGTCCCCCCGCTTTGATCCCACTATGACCAACCGGTTAGCAACCAGAAAGAGAGCAGCACCAGCTATTTTCACAGGCACGGACTGCAAATAAATCGGTAAACGTAAGATAACACCAGGCAAAATAACAATCACTCTCAGAACTAACAATTCCATTCCTAATAGAACAACGGCTAAAACGACACTTACAAGCATCCTGCAAATGCCCGCAACCCCATATCGCACATACCATGATTTTACATTAGAATTACCATATATCACATGAATTCCTGATCATCACTGGCAAATCAGATCCCATTATGTCCATTAGCCAGACTATTCTTGGCAGAATGGCTATGTATGCTGGTTTTGGGTTGTCAAGCTGCTGCTGCTACCTCCGCCCACACGATTGGGTTCTCCCACCCGCTGTGCTAATGCAAGAACTTCAGGGGACATTTCCCAGCTCCCACTTTTTCTTCCCCAGCTGGATCGCCGAGGATGTATCCCGACACGGTCACCCTCGTCCACTGTAGTCCTTACTTCAGGTGACAACTCTCCCAGTTCACCTTCCTTTATAGTTGAACGATCATTGATCAATTGACCTTCAGAATGATCTACTCCGGGGCCCGTGTCCCCCCAGACGCCTTTTCTGCCCATCTCTACATCTTCCACAGCCTTTCCCATACTTGGGCTCATAAAACCCCCAGCCACCGATCTAGCAGGTAATGCTGGTTCCCTTGCCACCGTTGCCCTGAAATTGTTCTTTGATGGGGGAATGTTGCTGCAGAATATCTCTCCAAAATTATTCAACACTCCTTTGTTATAAGGATTGGCCCGTCGATCATACCTGTATCTGAAATTCTCATATGTAGTCTGCAGGAGCAACAGACATAAATAATTGTAAGATCATTTTGGAATATAACTTCTTTGTTCGCACCAAGAGAAAATTCCAAAATGCAGTTGTTACCTGATTGGTACTTATCAGATATAAATGGAAGGCAGTAAGACCACCAACAAACCACATTGCTATGAAAGTGTAAATTATTAAAACTATGGATGCCGGTGTTTTGATCATTGCCTTCCAAATTGTTATCTCCTCTGACTTCATAATTCTTCTAATGTAGACCCAGCAAAATGCAAAAACATATATACAAAGTAGCGTAGTTGAGAAGACGAACATGAAGAAGAAGCGATAATTACGCTGCATAACAATATAATAAGTGTTCAGATAATGTAACACAGATATTCAAGAACGACATGCAGCAACTAACTGAAAAGCCATTAAACCGATAAATGTCGTTTTATAATAGAAATGAACAGTTGTTTTGGGCTTCGCATCATATGCCAAAAAAGAAGTGAATAATTCACCAAGGAAGAAAACATAAAGTCAGCAAAAACAATCCTTAAATGTGAAAGAAAAAAGAAAGCTACCAACAAATCCCTTCTGCTTGAGGAGAAATGGAAATCCTTCGGAAACCCGGTAATCAATCAGTGCTGCATTATGAGTGCATGTTGGGATTGGCAACTCACAAATTCAAGTTGTCCAACCCAACCTGTGGCTACATCAATGGAGTCGAATCAAGTTTGTGATTTAGGTTGGATCAGATCAAGCCAGAAGACCCGCACAATTCATTGTACTTGGTTGAATTTGCAGATTTCAATATTTCGACTGTATAAAATCAGCCCACGTCTAAAACCCACAATTATGTGCCGAGAAGACTAAATTAACACTTGGTTAATTAACACATAACCTGACCTGCATATGCATGGTGAGTTTGGTCTGTGTCGAGTAGACAACATTAACACTGGGTTTGCATTTGAGACTCCTCTTTGCAACTGTCTGAATTGATATTTGCAACTCATTTTTCAGAAAATTTTGTTGAGGACCTAATTATCATTTAATCAGTATTTTGGTATCTAACTATCGTTCTCCCTAAATTAAAGTCTCGTCTACCACATGCCAAAGAACACGAGCATGACAACAAATAGAAACTACCCAGCGAAATTATCAATCTTTCTGAGCAACATTCGCCACTTTGCAAACTGGGTTCACAGTTGACAGAAGACAACTAAATAAAACAAAAAATCCAACTTACCAGCCCAATACACTGTCCAACCCAGGGGCAGTGGTGATCAAATCGTTCTACACAGTTATTGCAGATTGAGCAGTGTGAGCATCGAGGAGGCCTGTAGAGCATGCAAGTATCACAATATTTGACTTTGACAATATTGCCATTGACCTGAACCTCCTTAAAGCGAGGCAACCGTAGTTGAGGAGTTTGACCAGCTCCAACATCCAAATTGCCATCAAGAACTTCTGGCTCTGGAGGATGTGCATTGCGTGGAATTATACCAGGGTCTCTGCCAGAAGTTAACAATAGAAGACCTAAGACCTGAAAAGATTAAATCAGCACAAGGCTCAAAAGAACATATTTTTATGTGCATGGCAGAGATCATGACCAATAAAATCCAAGAAATTGGAGAATTTGGGCCTCCTAAAGCTTTGATTACAAAATCACCCAAAAAAAAAAAAAGACAGCAATTATAAAGTCAAAGGCAGTGAACAAAACTACTCCATTGTGGCAACTAGTGAGCCCAGAATCAAAAGAATTTGAAGATACTTGTAGACATAGGACCGCCTAGGGAATGTCATGGCCTTTTGTCCCCACACCCTTGACATCAACCCACATCCTACCCTGTCTTTGTCACCCCAGGTGGCAACGTCATGGCTCTCTCAAGAAACATGAAATTCCACCAATTTTTGGGTAGGGCAGTCCAGAGACGGAAATGAAATCAACAAGATGTATGATTGAAAGAGATCTCCTGAAGGGTACCTTGTTTCAAGCCAAAAACACAAAACAAAAAGCAATGCTTCTCATGGTATAAACAAATAACATTATCACCATGCGGTACATTGATTCAGAAGGAGATAATTGATGTAGAGAGACTCACATAAACTGTGAATATAACAGCAACAACCTCTATGGTTATCCCCCAGTGGTCAGAAAAATCGTCCATCAGTTTTCTGGCAACAAAGACACAGAAAACTGCCACGGGAGCAACAAGAAGGAAAATGGTCAGCACCAGTGATCTTACATCTGGTCCAAATACGAACCTCCCCTGAAGAAAAAATTTCTGCAAGAAAATGTTCTATGTAAGAACCATCACAACCACAAAACGTCCAATTACAGTAACATGTTTCAGATAAAGCGCAGCAAAGGTAATTATTATTTTTCTATTATCTATGAACATTGTGCTAGTCCATAAATAATAAGAAATATAGTCTAGCAAAGTTTTTCCTAACAAAGCAAACAAGTTCCCTTAACAATATCAATGTTGATATCATATAGATTCTGTGACAAAAGTAAGTCAGATTCAAGATGTCAAGAGGGGGGAAAGCAGCTGTTTTCTAGTTTACACATGTAACGCTGCAGCCCATAAATCACAAAGCCTGCCACAATCTCTTTCATTTATTCAGCTTTTCCAAATTTTGGCCTAGTTTTGACTTTTAAGTGCCTAAAAATTCAGAATTCATTTTGACTTGTCCAATATCAAGAACCAGGTGCAATAGCAGTGAGGTGACTTTATGATTTGTCAATTCTCATAGCTAGTTGTATATTAAATAAAAGCTAAATGGTACTACAACTGAAATCTGAAACGCCAACAAGCTAAATGTATCCAATTAAGTTTCTTGGTTGCTATAATGGTAATTTACTGACGTTGCTTCATAACTTAACGGAAAGAGTACCCTCAAAAACTTGAATAGTCATAAATCAGGCAATCCCTCAGCTCCTTGGCGAGAGAGATTTCCTTTTTGCTAAGCTCGCTTGCTTTCATTCTGCAGAGTTCGTAATCACCACAGACCCCGGAACCCCTCTTAGGGTAATAAAATTGATTCAACAGGAGAGCAAGAAAAAATAAGAACAATCAATGAAGGAGGATCGACCTAGGATATCATTGGACTTAAGAGAAGAAAGAGAGGACTTTGCTAAACGCAGAATGAGATTGATTTAATAAGTTAGACTTAAGAAGAAAAAGAGAGAAAGATTTGCCTAGGCCTGAGAGCAGAATGCAATGGACTACATAAGCTCGAACAATATCATGAATTCGACATACATGACAGAAAGTGTGAGACAAAAACCCAATAACAGAAAAAGAAAAAAGAACAAAAAACTAGAAGTAAAAACTCACATTACTCCCTTTCCATGTTTGGTAAACCCGCAAATCGCTGGATCCCGACCCAGGATCGGTCTGCTGGGGTGGAGGCACCACGTACATATCGTATTGGAAGAAGATAGTCCAGTCACAGTCAGTCCAGAATCCTCAAATAGCATATAAAATCCGCAGTGACCCCCAGAAACGAAACTCACGAAGCCAAAACGCAAGATATAGAAAGGCAGGAACTTGAAGGCTCTCTGAGGTTAAAAATCCATGGCCGACGACGAAAGCAGAGACCCTTATAGCTCAGAATACCGGCGAGGTGGAAGGGAGAGTGGTAAATCGGCGACAAGGCATGAGAGGTAGGGCCAAGGGGCAGCGAGTGCTCAGTTTTTTTTTTTTTTAAAAGTTGGGTGCCTTTCACTTCCGAAGCTGGGGATTCAATACATGCTTTTGGTGAGCAAGGGACTCTCCCAACTGTTACTGCTACTGTCACTGTATGTGTCTGCGCTTGACAGCATATAGAAAATGACATGGCCCGTTTTCATTGGAACTGACCATGATTGACCGGTTTCATGGCTCCGCTGGCTGTTTCTGCCACTCTCTTTCTTGCGTCCTAATAATTTACCCTAGCAGGACCTTTCTTCCGTTCAAGGTTTCTCTCACATTAATTACCTAATAACGCACCCAACATTAGTTGAATTTAATTAATACCAAACATTCATTTAATAATATAAAATATATTATTTATAATAGATAGATAATTCTCACTAATACAAATTATATACACTTCACCAAAAAAAATTATATACAGCAAGAGAATCCAATTAAATATAAATGCTCTTTATTTTTATTGTAGTGGGATATTAATCTGCTGGATTTTAAGGTGAGTTTCACTAACTTATCATGGTATATTTTTTAATAAATTTATATTATGTATAGAATATATGACAATAAAAATTTGTCATAGAACTAGCCTGATCAAGCCTACTCATTCAGTTGGTGCTGCAAAATTTTGCAAATTTGGGGATGAAAAAATTGATTGAGAAATGAGGCATAGATTTGGATATGAGCTTTTGAGCTTTCCAAAGGAATTGAACGGCTAATAGTTGTTAAGACTTTGGCTTTGGCATCATATATAGGCGGATTTCTGGAAAAAAAAAAAGATAATTAATTTTTTTAAAAAAACTCTTTTATGCTGTATGAGATAAAAATTTTTTTACATATTTATTTCATATAGTGTAATACTACCTCCGATAAATATAAGATTACAATCTACTTTGTTTTCAATATTTATACATTTTTTTCAAGATAGTCCTTCTAACAATAATAGTTTTAGCTAATATACTTGATTAGTAAGGATATTTTAGGAAAAACAATACCTATTTATTACAAATAACTAACTTAAGTTCTTTTTTTAATCTCCTTGAATTAGTTAATTAGCTCTTATATTTAGGACTGGTTATAGTATTTAAAATAAATTAATCCAAACCACCATTAAAATATGGGAGATGAAAGAAAAAAGCGCGGAGAATTATCATGAAAGAAAAAGGGGGAGATTGGTTGTTGTGGACAGTTGCTTTATGGGCGGCTAATTGATATTGCTAACCTAAACTCCAACTAATCCACTACTTGGCATTATTCCGCTTTTTCGTATTCTTCGCTCTCAAGTCAGAGACCGGAGAAAATGGACAGCGCGGTAATGCTTTTTGTGGTCAAAATTCAACTTATTTTGTCAATTATCTTTTTAAAAAATAATACGAGGACAGTTGAAACGATGATGGATAATTTGGCACTGCTAAGCCACCAGCTTTACTCGGTATTGATTGTACAGGCGCCTTTGCGCTTGCGCCAGCGTCAGGGTAATTTCAGAAAAAATTATAATAAAATCCAGAATTAAATAACTTTTTTAAAAAAAGTTGTTAAATTATTCTAAAGTTTCCAAAAACTTGCAAGAGATTTTATTTATTTAATTATCAAATTATCTTTTTTTTAGTATGCATTGAAATAGTAATCATTAACAACTTAATGTGAAATAAATAACAACTATAATAACAAGTATTAACAACATATTTTTCAACACATCACAAAAATAAAACTCATAAGTTATCAATATGTCACAATAATTATTAATTGTTATACTTTAGATTGTAAACGCATGTACTTTCAGTGATCAATACATACTTTAAAAAATAAAAACAAACTGATAATTAGACAAATAGAATTTCTTATAATGAAATATTTTAATACTTCAGATTAATTTAATAATTTTAAAAGTTTTTTTTGTACTTAATTCTTTTGGATGAGACCTTTTTGTAATTTTTCCATAATTCCATGCATGCGTCAGCAAACTGACAAGACCAGGAATATACTATCAGTTCCCCACGCCATGACTCATACGTTAATCTCCTTTGCCAAGGTTACGACCTAACGACTCTGTTTCTGCCTATGAAGTATATCAGTTTATAAACACAGTACACGAGCTCCTTTTGAATTTTCACAGGCGACGACCAAAACCAAACAAAAGAAATCATTTCAGAGTTGCCATACGGACACAGTCCTAAGGCGCTTGCCAAAAATTGCACGGAGCTTTGATTAGGGGGGTCACTTGTACGCTGAAAGGAAAGGATGAGTAACTAATTCTGTTATGCTACTAGTATGGTAATCCTAAAGCATATGATTACAATGAAATGTTACTCCCACACACTACAACTTGAATTTAACGGTTCTCACAACATTTTTCCTCGAATTACAGTAATTTTGAAGAGAGACGTCATTAACAGTACCAAGACCAGACAGTTTAACGCCATAAGAAGCCAGGCGATTGATATCCCGCGGAATGGGAGACTGCCAAAGGCCATCCCACCAACCTGGAGGAAGAAGTGGAGTGAAGGCGCATTGGTTGGCCTGGCTACGACAACTCAAAGGACCAGCAAATCTGTTCCACACGTGACCCCAGCCGATCTGATTCTTCAGACCCGCCGTTAACAAATTGCTCTGGAAACTGCTAAAAAATGCAAAATTTGACGTAGTCGTATTATCCCCTGAAAGAAACAATTATCAGATGCTTCATCCTTCAGCAGAATGTGACATACAGGCTTATGTATGCATGCATGTCTATGTATATGTAAGGAAATGAGAGGGGAAGTACCCAGGTTGCGCGTTGCAGCCAGTGCAGCAACTAATTGAGCATAGGTAGTCCCAACACGCCGGTGAGCTCCAGAAACAACAGCATATTTTGCACGAGATGCAAGGAAAAAGTCCACAAAAGCAACCCATCGAGGTGCTGAACCCCAGTCCTTCACTCTAAAATCTGATTTCAGAAATTCTTTATGTATATTCCCCCGGAAATGTTCATAGTTGAAATGAAGAACCTGGGTAGCAGAGATTAATAAGCGTCAAAAGCACCTATCTTCGTCGTGTTTTGTGTTTGGAAAAGGCCAGAGTGCCTTTTTTGACCCGAAGTTTTGGATGAGTTCTAATATCGCCCTAAATGTTTTATTTGATTACTGTTGTTTGGAAAAGGCTATAGTGCACTTCATCCAAAACAAAAATAAATTAAGTAAATAAAACATTGAGGCCAAACCAAAATTCGAACTTAAATGAGGAAAGTGTACTTTGCCCGATGGGTCAACGGTAGACCCGAAGGACTGACAATGTTGGGAGATGGGGTTCAGTAACGCGAAAGTAGTGGTGGATGAATCCTTTAAGTTTCATGATTAGACAGTGAAAAAGTAAATAATCAGAAGATGGGGAATCTATGAAGGACTTAGACAATGTTGGGAGATGGGGTTCAGTAGAGTAGAGGTAAAAAAATGACGCGAAAGTAGTGGTGGATGGAATCCTTTAAGTTTCATGAAATGAGGTGCAACCTGTGCTGATATCAGAGATACGAGAACTACTGAAAAGCGAATGGATGGTGAAAATCAGGCATGTCTTCAGAGAAGCCAATGGAGTGGCAGATCGACTAGCAAAAGTGGGATTGAACCAGGAACAACGAAAAATCACATGGACAAACCCCCCAATAGAAGCCTGAGAGACCCTACACCAGGATAGTATTGAACGGGGAAGCATCCGTAGAGTCAGTCTAAATTAGTTTGTTTGTGTCTTCTTGTACTTCACCCAAAAAAGAAGAAGCAAATAATCAAGCAAATCATTATTCAACATATGAAATTAGCCCCAAGGAAAACAACATATTTTCTGTTTTAAGCATCACTGACTAGTGGCAGGAGAAAGAATATTTCATCCATACATTCCATGCTCCAGAGACACGTACACACTAACATACTAAGCACACAATAAGAATCAAGAGATCACCTCTGCAAATTCACTTATGTTGCGAATCATACTTTTAACAACAGAAGGCGTATCAGACACCAAAACCACCTTTGGCCTTAACCTTAGATTTTGATTTCGAATGGCCTTTTTAATGCACCGTAATGCTGCTTGTACAGCTCTCACAGACCTGAATCAGAGGGTGCAAGAATCACGATCAATTAATTAAAGCCACAACTAAGAAAAGGTTGCGATACTTCATGAATCTTGTGTTAACTATGCATCATGCACATTAATGAAGAATCAATATATTCCTCCACAGCATTCAGGGGGGTACAAATGTGATGTATAAATTGTAATTAACATAAGGTTAGATAGGTACATGTGTAAGCCAGTTAGACGGTAGTTATAATGAAATAGCCGTTAGAGGCTAGTGGTTAGAAGCCTTTATAAGGAGGTGCGATTGTAATTAGGGGCTTTTGTTTTGAGTAATATCCAATGCAACATTAGCTACCTCTCTCGTTCTTTCTGTCTACTAGTATTCATCGTAATAGATCCTTCAATTACCTGTTCATAAACATTCGCATATGTATTGAAATGTCAGGATCCTCCCTGCCATCAATAACCCAATTAACAGCTGCTTCAACATCTTTGGAAGGTGATATGAGAACTCTCATTAGCTCCCCAAATACATTAGGACGTGATCCTAGAACTAGTGGATCACCAAATAAATCAGAAGCAGCAGTTCTCATCTCATGGTGAATATTTTTCAAGAAAAATTGTGCTGCCACAGCATCTGTAGTTCCTTGAAACCTACAACATAACGCTATTAGTTATTTGACAAAGCTTGAGAAATAGATACGCAGAGATAGCATTCTCACTATACCATATAATAGGTTGCTTCCATTTCTTCCAATTGCCACAAAGAACATTAGTTTGAGCCGGCTTTTCAAAATCATCTGTTCTCATAATAAGATGCCTCCCATATTTCTTTCAAAACTATTTTGTCTCCCAGGTGCTTGATTTCTTTCATCGTAAAGGTAAAGGGGATAAGAAATATAATCCCGAAAGGATATTTACCTCTGAAACTAGAAGAGAGCTAATAAGATAATGGGAAGACAAGTGCACTTGATTATAACATTACTCTTTTGCATGGTTAAAGTCGTTTGACAAATCCATCAATGACAGGCTGTTAGGATTTGACATTTCAGCGGCCATAAAAATTGCAATATGTCAAAACTTCATTAACCTAGGCTGTTATTGTATCTGCATGATGTTTTAGGTACGAGAAACATTTAAAAAAGTTAATGCAGACAGAAGAACCATAGCAATTGAACACTCAAACTGGAACTATCAACCAGCTCTCAGCAAGAAACCAAAACGTGCGAGTATGTAAATGTCCAAATTGCATAAAACTAAGTTTTTATTTGTAACTGCACAATATTTCTGGACAAGATATTCATAAAAGCTAAAATAGATATAAGATCATTAGTAACTGAAAGCTCTAAAAGAAAATGTTCATCAGAAAACAGGTTGTCAGCAAGAAAGCAACGTTGAGTTCTTGAATTGAAAAAGAAAGGCTTGAGGGGGAACCAATATGCCTGGTTTGGCCAATGATAAGGGACCGGTTTAACATCACACTCAGTGCCGCGGCAGTTAAGACCTTGTACATTTCATTCCCAAAACCTGCCTCTGAGGTCTTACCCAGAACAAACCCATGACTACAAAATTGCTCTGGGGGTAGATCCCTGATTCTTGACGCCCCTGAAACAAATAAATCAACGTCATCTTCTGATTTCACAACAACTCTCCAAAATAACAATATTGCTACTTTTCAGATGTTTATGCCTCCAATGCCACCGGAAGGTACATGGACAAAATAAGCTTAATTGCACTTTCATTCCCTCTACCTCACTCAAGAGAACAATTTTCTCTATCTTGCTTCAATTAGAGCTAATTTTCCCCTTTTCTATATTTATTAGTCCTTCAGATGTTTATGCCTCCAATGCCACAGGAAGGCACATGGACAAAATAAGCTTAATTGCACTTTCATTCCCTCTACCTCACTCAAGAGAGCAATTTTCTCTATCTTGCTTCAGTTAGAGCTAATTTGCCTCTTTTCTATATTTATTAGTCCTTCTAGCGTTAAGGTTATATTATATTTCTATTTATTGTAATAAGGCAAGTTAAATAATTAGGGGAGAAAGATTGTATCAGTAGAAATAAGCTATAAAATTGAAATAATAAATAAATCTGAGGAATAACATTGCTCGAATTGACGCTAAAGAGGCTGAATTGGTCACTCAAGTAAGTTGGATGGATTGAAAGTGTTGAGTAAATTAGATGGACAGAAGCATAAGTAGGTCAATACACTCGAAACAGAAATAGTGATTTCTGTATATGACTGGGAAGACTCCCAGGTCACTACTATAGTCCTAGTTATGACACATAAACCCCGCAACGACAACAACCTTCTTGATAAAGAATCTTGCAAACGGAATATGCTAATGTCAGTAAATGGTTAAGTTCCCAATATATCTATCAAAGCGTGCTAACGCACTAACTCCAGATATTCGAAATTGACAAAGCTTTGCGCAGTTTGTTAAATTGTTCTCGCTACTCGCTCTCCAAATGCCACTGCTCCTAACACAACTATGCTTCATAAGAGAAATGAGCTACCTAAAGATGTAAACATCACATGCATCCTGCTAATCGTCCTGGATATCTAAGGGCCTAGTAAGAGCCACCAAATTTACAAACAAAGCAGAAATAACCGGAAGTAGTCAAAGTACCATTCACAATAAAATGATTTTCGAGAATTCTTCTCACTCTCAGATTTTCTTTCCAATCAACGCTTCTGAAATCGTGCCCCATCTCTTCCACCGTGGCGCATGATTTCTCTACCCTGTTCCCTAAGCGCTCAGAGGCCACCACAATGCCGCCATCAATACTTGAGACTTTTGAGTCTCCAAGCCCAACTTGTATGGGGAAATCGACCACAATAGGAGGATCCAACGGTCTAAGCGCAAGCGTCAGCAGGCCAAAACCAGCAACCAATGCGCATAAAAAAAGAAATGGTTGCAGTAACATTTGCCCCCGTCTAACTCCACCATATCTCACTTTCTCTCTGTCTCTCATCCTTCCTAACTTCATTTTCGTCTACTATTGAACGCTTGGAAGTCAGCTTCTACAATTGAACTGGATCTCAACTAACAACACTGACGCCGGTGAGGCGTATCCCTTTCGGTTATCTTCCTGCGGTTGCGTGAGCCTGTGAGCATATATTCTCCGCGCTACCTTTTTTTTTTTTTTGGGTCGGCTCCGCGCTGTCTTTGTTTGCTCGGCAACAAAAGGTGAAACAGACCTGGCATGTTTTGTAATTTATCCGCGCTATCTTTGTTATATATTTTCCAGTCTTGTACGGAGGCCTGGCTTAATCTAAAACCTGTTAAAAAAACTGTTTTTAAAAAATTTAAATTACAGTTGATAAGTTTCTGAATATTATTGATGAATAGGTCCACAGGACCAATAATCCATACATGAGCAGTCGGACCTGACCCCTTTTATAGACACTACTGGGCCAAGGCCCAACCACTAACTATCTACACGTTTACTTTAACACTCCCCCTCAAGTTTGGGGGCATACAGATTTATGGTCCCTAACTTGCTCATGATTCGTCGATGGTCTTCCTTTCCCAATCCTTTCGTAAATATATCTGCTTGTTGATCTTTACTCCTCACATGCTGCAGTTTTATCATCCCCTGCTGCAACTTTTCCCTTACAAAATGGCAATCTATTTCAATATGTTTGGTTCTCTCATGGAAAACCGGATTACTAGCAATGTGTATTGCAGATTTGCTGTCACAAAATATTTCAACAGGTTCCAAACCGTCAATACCAAGATCTTTCAACAGTCTAGTAACCCAGATCACTTCTGAAATTGCACTCCCTAGAGCTCTGTATTCTGCCTCAGCTGAAGACCATGAGACAGTATTCTGTTTCTTCGATTTCCATGAAACCAGTGATCCTCCAAGCTTAATTGCATATCCCGTCACAGACTTTCTTGTGTCCGGACACGTGCCCCAGTCAGAATCAACATAGCACTCCAGACGACAACTCTTTAACCCAGTAAGAATGATCCCAAGTCCAGGAGTTCCTTTAAGATACTTCACCACCCTCAAGGCTGCATTCATGTGTGACCTTCTGGGTCCATTCAGAAATTGACTCAACCCCTGCACAGCAAAACTTATGTCAGGTCTGGTAACCGTGAGATATGACAACTTACCTATCAACCGTCTATATGATGTTGACTCGGATAGCAGAGGATCATTGGTTTCAGCCGAAGGGTTGCAAGTCAACCTTGCATTTCGTTCCAAAGGAACACTGAGAGGTTTTGCTGCAGTTAGTCCTACATCAGACAAAATATCTAAAGCATATTTACGTTGGTTGAGAATCAAGCCTTTCTTTGACCTAGCCACTTCTATCCCTAGAAAATATCTAAGCTGTCCTAAGTCTTTAATTTTGAATCTATTATGTAGAAACTCTTTGACTTCTTGTATCTTATCTGATTTATTTCCTGTAATCACTAAATCATCAACATACACTAATATGAAAGTAGTTTCAGATTCTGTTTGCCTTATAAACAGTGAGTAATCATACATGCATTGCCTAAAACCTGCCTGTAAAAGGGCTTCTGTGAGCTTAGCATTCCACTGCCTTGATGCTTGCTTGAGACCATAAAGAGATTTGGTCAGTTTGCACACTTTGTTATGTGCAAAATTCCCAAATCCTTGAGGGATGGTCATATACACCTCTTCCTTCAAATCCCCTTGAAGGAAGGCATTATGAACATCCATCTGAAAAAGGTCCCAACCATTCATCACTGCAAGATTTAGAACTATTCTCACAGTCACCATTTTTACTACCGGGGAAAAGGTTTCAAAAAAATCCACTCCTTCTCTTTGGGTATAACCCTTTGCAACTAATCTTGCCTTAAACCTATCTACTTTACCATCAGCACTATACTTCACCTTATAGACCCATTTGCACCCTATGGGTTTCTTTCCCTTTGGCAAATCAACCAGCTCCCAAGTGCCATTATCTTGTAGTGCCTCCATTTCTGCTTTCATTGCATCAACCCATCGCTGGTCTTTAGCTGCTTCTTCATAGCTATAGGGCTCAGCAATGTTGTCAATATTGGATAGAACATATTTATAATCAAATGACACATGTGAGTAGGATAAAAAAGATTGCATAGGGTACTTTACCTTTGCTTTACCTCTTACAATGTCATCAAGTGGTTTATCACAGGCATATCCCACTAAAGCTTTGAAACAAATATCATTAGTGCAAGCATAATCTTTCATCCATGCTGGTGATTTTCTTTCACGTACAGGCCTTCCTAAATCAGTTTCAGGACTAATTTCATTTCCATCATCTTCTCTATGTATTATGTCATCTTTTGGGTTCTGTTGCCTAACCGTTATAACTGGAGGTGATTCATTATCATATCTAAAAGGGTCAATCATAGATGCACTATCTCCCCCTTGATTGATACGGTTAGCATCCTTAAAGGGAAAACGGGTCTCATCAAAAGTGACATGGCGATTAACAGTAATACTCTGAGTTTGTAGATTATAAAGAAGATATCCCTTTTGTGTCCCAGGATAACCAAGAAATATGCAAGGATCAGAACGGTTTTGGAACTTATCAAGTGGCTGTAAATTCGTAGCAAAAGCTAAGCAACCAAAAACCCTCAAAAAAGATAGATCTGGTTGATGGCCATATATCATTTCATAGGGAGTTTTATGAGCCAATACAGTAGAGGGGGTTCTATTAATTAAAAAAGTGGCTGTCTTAATAGCATCTCCCCAGAATTTCAAAGGAATACCGGATTGAAAAATTAAACTTCTTGCCACTTCTAAAAGGTGTCTATGCTTGCGCTCCACAATCCCATTTTGTTGGGGTGTGTAAGGGCAAGTGGTCTCATGAACAGTCCCGTGAGCATTAAGATACAGTTTCAAGTCAGAATTCATGAACTCTAAACCATTGTCAGTCCTAATTCGTTTAACAGTAGCAGAAAATTGGGTAGCAGTATAAGCAAAGAAATTTTTCAGATGAGCAACAGATTCACTTTTATTGATCATAAGAAATGTCCAAGTACAACGAGAGAAATCATCAACTATTGTAAGGAAGTATCTATGACCCATATAAGTAGGTTCCTTGTAGGGCCCCCAGACATCAATATGTAACAATTCAAAACAGCAAGATGACCTAGATTTGCTAGAAGGAAAAGGCAACCTAGTTTGTTTTGATCGAGGACAAACAGTACATTTCTCACTGTGATTTAGTACAGGAATGTCTTTTCCTATTTGGTCTAAGTATTTGAATTTATCTATAGGAGTGTGTCCTAATCTAAGATGCCAAAGAGTTTGTGTTTGCTTAGCAGTAGCATGCATAACAGAGTCCTCATTCTTTATCCTCTCAATGATGTAAAGACCACTAATGAGCCTACCAATCTCCCTTGTCTTTCCATGAAGGATATCCTGCAAAGTACAATGATGAGAGTAAAAGGAGACGACAAATTCTTTACTGGCAGTCAGTTTAGACACAGATACTAAATTGTAACAACAGCCAGGTGCATAAAACACATCCCTTAAAATTATATTCTCAAGAATCCGAACCGTGCCTACATGGGTAATTAACATTCTATTTCCATTTGGGACTTTAATCACTCTAATGGGTCCTTTATAATCAGTGACAGTGTCAAACATATCCAGACTATTGACTACATGACAGGTGGCACCAGAATCTAAAACCCAATGTAGTTCACAAAAGGATTTAGGGAGAGCATTAACAGCACCTGAGATTGTTTCTTCTACCAGGTCGGTGGCACTAACGGCAATGTCCATCTGCTCCTTCTGTAGTAACTTGAGGATCTGGTCATATTGTTGTTGAGTAAGTGTGGCCTGTCCATGGAGGGAGGATGATGAGGAAGTGTTGGCCGACTGTTCAGGAGCTGAAGGAGAAAATGATGCTTGTCTGCCACGAAAATTTGAAGGGAATCCCACCAGGTGGTAACAGTTCTCCCTTTTGTGACCCTTTCTATGGCAGTGCGAGCACTCCTCCTGAGACCGTCCTCTTCCTCTGCCCCGTCCTGGACGTCCACCTCTAGCACTCATAGTAACTCCTTCTACCGGATGATTAGGGACATGGGAAGATATCATTTGTTGGGATTCATCTTGGGATATCATAGAATAAGCCTGATTTACTGTAGGGAGAGGAGATTGTAGTAAAATCTGGGTTCTGGCTTGATGATAGTTATCGTTGAGACCAGTGAGGAATTGCAAGAGCCTTTGCTGTTGTATCATTCTAGCATATTCCTGCGTGGTGAGACATTGACAGGAAGGCAAAGGTGCCAATGCATCATATTCTTCCCAGAGATCCCTTAACCGTGTAAAATACTCAGAAACAGACATAGACCCTTGAATCAATGAACTAATGGCCTTATGAATGGCAAAAATTCTCAGTCCATCCGCTTTGTGAAAGCGTTCTTTTAAATCTAACCAAACCGCTCTAGCACTATTTGAGAATACAAGGCCATTAGCAATACGCTTATCTACAGAATTTACCAGCCATGATAATACGATGGCATTGCACCGGTCCCATAAAGCACAGAGGTCTGGTTCTTGTTTCTCCCGAAGGCATGAACCGTCGATTATCCCCAATTTGTTCTTGGCAAACAAAGTGAGGCACATTGAACGGCTCCATACCTCGTAATTCTCGGAACCCCGAAGCACCTGTGATACAAGAGTC